GGGAATTTACATTAATTTGAAGATGATTACATTATCAAATTTTATAAGACATTTTGCATTTAATAAGTCATGTATAGATTCACACATTTTAGGCATTTGATAAGTAGTATTAGACAAGCAATGCAAGGCAATTTACAATTAATATTAGACATTTTATAAGTGAAGCTGGTAATTTAATAAGCCATGGATGGTTTTATACAAGATGAATATTACATAAGTAATATTTCAGTCTTAACAAGAAACATAAGGGAGTTTGCATGTCAAATTTTACAATTTACAAGGAAAAGAAATTTACATTAATTTAAAGACAATTATATGACTTTACAAAAAAAGAAAAAGAAAAAACTGATAAAGAATGCTTTGTCAATTTGCACAGCAAAGATTCTAGACACTCTAATTTCTCATGCGATTCACCTTTGTCTTATGGTAAAGTGTCTAATTCAAGCAAAATAAAAAACGAAGAGGAGAGAGAGAGATTCATGGTAGAAACTAGAAAGAAAGAAAGAAGCATATTGATATATGGAGACGCGCGTGTAGAGTTGTGATTAAAGATGAATGCAAGCTACTCAACTACTCGTACGATTCCACTAACTTAGCCATACACCTTAACTAGAGCTGTATCACTCATGGCACCTTCACAATGCAAACTCACAAACCTATTCACCAACTTAATCGCAAGCTCTGCATTCAACAATGTTCCACCAAGTGTGATTGAAAGAATGAATCACGAGCAGCCCCTTCAATGCCTCATTCAGTTGCCACGAAAATCTTCTTCTCTTGCTCCTATCTATACGTGGCCTTAACGCTCACCATGTTGACTGTTATGAGGAGGCTAAAGCAGCAGCAAGTATAGTTTGTGGACACTAGCTACAGGGTACACCGCGAAAGCAGCAACCAACGAAGAAAAGGAGGGAGGGAAGAGTGAGAATGATCAATTGGATCACACTCACTTCTTGATTTAGCTGACTCATTAATTTGGATTGCCTAATCAAACCATGACAACCCATGTGCTTTGGAAATTACTCTTGTTATTCAATAAGATACTAAAAATTTGATTATTAAACTGGTAAATGCACTGATTTAAAAATTTAGTAGCTAAAATTATAGTCGAACTATGATTACATTAGTCATAAATAAAGTATTTTATTAAATCATTCAAGCCATTAGTTTAATAATTTATTGACTTAACCAGAGCAATTGACCCAGATTTTTATACTACATTATTCAAAGCAGTAGTAAAATTGGAGAAAAGGATTGACGAGTTTTTGCCACCTACATCAAATCTTGATGCACTGACGTATGTCATTTTAAAACTTTTTAACTGAATTCAAGCTCCGAATATAAAAATAATGAGGGGATGTCTAGTTCCTACATTTAATTTTAAGCTTTTACATTTTCTAACAAGTACCACTGAAGTTAAACACTTATTTAATTTTGATTTCTGTTTCCCACCCATTTCTTCAAGGATGAGTTTAATAGGAACCAAATTAAAAATTTTGTTAATTTCAAGACTCAGTTAATAAATGAGTTGTCTTTCCTTAATTTCTCTGAAAATGATGGCTTATAAAAAGAACAATGGAGTACGCGTATGCTCCTCTGGATCTTTTTATAAGGCAATGAGAGAAGAAAAAAAAATTAATACTATTTTTAGGGTATTCGCCAATTTTCAACACTCCTCTTTATATTTTTACCTTTATTAAATAATTTGAATAATAATAAAATTTAAAAATATTTATTAAGAATAAAGGTGAAAACTTGTTAAATTTCAAGACAAAATTAATGAGATTTAATATTTTTTTAATTTTAATAAAACATGTTGAAAGTAACTAATAAATAACATCAGGGGAATACATAATGAGAAAATCTTTTAACATCTAAAAGTTAGTCCGAATATTTAATATCAAACACTTATTTTGATACTCCATCCATCCATTTGAAAATATAAATTCTTTTTATGAAAAATTTTGTTCTATTTTGTATATTTTTTTAGAAATTCAAAGCAATATTCATTAATATTTTATCTATTATACCCTTATTTGCTCTAACTAATTACTTTAATTTATTAACGCATTAATTAGGGATAAGTTTAGTAATGTAGTTAATATTTTAATAATAATTACAATTTTTAAACGTGAATTTAAATCTCAAAAGACTTAATTCAAAATAAAGGGAATAATTTTGTTATAACTATTTTATGAATTACTTTTTGGATTAAAAGACAAATTGGCTTTAAACTGTTCAGGAACATCTATGACTCTAAATTCATTTAGAGTGCAACGTTTACTTTAATTTTTGAAAACAGTATAATATCATCATTACTGTTAGCTAAATTTAATTGAGACAATTAGTTGATTATAAAATGCTATACTATAAAAGAACATCAAAATTATTTATTGATCTTTTTATGTAATTTTTTAAATTATTGTCTATAAGTTTTGAATCTTTTTAGCAATTTTCTTTGTCTTGTTATTTTCTAATTAACAATCAAAATAAACTTTTGTCAATAATAAAAGTGACATTACACTGTTTTTAAAATTTAGGAATTAATTTGTCATTTAACCTTGGCTTTTTCTTGAATTGCATGATCAACATTTTGTGGAAAGCAAATATGGAACCAACCATGGGGGAGGAATCGGAATAAAGTGCATGGTAGACAGTGATAAATGATTGAAACCAAACCTTAATCATGTTAGTCTCATGCTGAAACCAAACCTTAATCATGTTCGTCTCATGCACAACTATTCCCAGGTCCAACTTTGCTCCCCCTTCAAAATCTCAATCATATGATCATGTTCAGTGATTCCTTTGAGATGTCGGGCACTGATAATAATATGTGATGTGATTTGACATATTCCCACAAAGGCGTTGTGATTATATGCATTGTCGTGAATCGGTGACACCGCGCGCTCGCGCACACATATTTATTTTGGTATAAAGCAAAATATATACTAAAGTTAAGAAACACATACAAATATCCAAGGGAATATTTGGTGCATACTTCCAATATCCCTTCGTAATATACATAATTTATAAGATAAATTACTATGGCCTAGAATAATTGGAATATAAGATGACTTAGATATAAAAATAATCAACGGAAAAGATGTCGAAGATGATATCCAAGGTTGATTATTGATGGACGTTAAGCCATATCTTATTTGTAGAAGTAGTTGTATGTTGTTTTTTATCTTCATCTTCAACTTTCTAAAATATAGGGTATAATTATTGAATATAATATGTAGATGAGTCCTCCTAACATTCTTAGATTTTCCAATTGAACAACATTTTTCCATGATTCCAAGATTTGAAGAATATCTCTATTAAAATTTCTCGAATAAACTTAGATTTCTATGTGTTGATAACTTGTCTGAGGATGAAGAAAAATTTCAAACTTATTGCAATGGAGGAAATAAGAATAGTTCCTTTGTGCCATTAAAAGGGCTTCTGCTAGCATGATATTCAAATTGTGAAAACATTTTGGGTTCTTGTATCTTCATATAGAGTTAATGATAGAAAAAGGCAACACAAAGTTATATAACAGTTGATCCTTTTTTCTGTATGAAAGACAAAATTTATTTTTTAATCCATTCATATAAAGATTGAGTTGGATCCATAGATGTTCTTAAAATTAAAGGAGATCCAAACCAAATTATCCTAGCAAAAGGATAAAGTAGGAAAATATAATCCAATGATTCATTAGAACTTTGCTAGAAACAAATAAACTTCAGTAATATTTATATGGTGAACCTAAAGACATTTTGTTATTGATAAAGATTTTCGAATGATTTTTTAAATTAGTAATTTTACTTTATGAGGCAATGTTATTTTTCAAAAGAATTTCCATGAAAAACCAAGATTAAAAGGAGGATCTCGATTAGAATCAATTAGCCAATTATAACCCTCCTTAACAGTATAATTACCATTAAAGTTAATAGACCAAACCACAGAGTCCTCTTGATTAGTAAAAGACAATAGTGTTTGCAAAATTTGTGAAGCTATAGTAGGGTGACATAAAGATAAAAAAGTAATTGTTTATTCCAAATAAACTAAGGGCACAGTATAAGATCTTCCCTTCTCTCAACAAGAGAAGGAAGATCTGATTGCTGCAAAGGTAATGAAAGCTCATTTTTTAAATAAATGGATTTCTTATTACCTACTATCCATTTCAAATTTTGCAAAACCATTTCACTCACTGTCAAAAATTTTTGAAAAAATAATAATAAAATCCTTCTAAAATGTATAAATGATAATTTAGTCTCTCGAAATGTCATGATTTCCCTAAAATTTTTAAGGACTTTTCTGCCATTAATGAATTTATATAAATTATCAAATTGCCTTTATTAAAAATAAATAATTCATAAATTTTGTTTAAATATTTATAACTTTCTTTCTTATATTAACAATAATGTAATAGCAACTAAGGGATTAACGTGCGAAATTATGATTTATTATTGAATTGTTGTGAATATAAGAAAAAAAGTTATGAATATTTAAATAAAATTTGTGACTTATTTATTTTTAACAAGGGTAATTTAATAATTTATATAAATTCATTAATGACAGAAAAATCTCTATAAACTTTAAAAAAATTATGACATTTTAAAAGACTAAATTATTATTTATACATTTTAAAAAAATTTTATTATTATTTTTTTAAATTTTTTTCCAAGCCGGAGAAGCGCGGCCTTAACAGAAAAAAATTATATTTCCGTTAATAGAAAAATAAAAAGCATATATACGTATAAAACATTGTGATGGAGTACTGTTGAGACAATGGTGGGTGACACTTTCCTATCGTGATCATTTTCAAGTTGCGAGCGAGGCTTTTGGACTCTTAATTTTATATTATTTGATTTAATAATTATCATATTAATAAATAGTTTTATGGTTTTCTTCAATCTCAATTCAAAACATTTGACCGAAAAAGAAAACTTCGATGCATAACATGTCTGAATAAAGTAGTAAAAATATGGAAACGGTTCAGAGTGAGAGGGAGCCAAGTCGGTATGAGACGGAAGAGATTCAATTCGAAAAGAAACCAGGAGGGGACCCCATTGAACAGAAGAGAAGAAATGAGAAGGTGCCACGTGTAAGAGGCGCCCACACATCCATACCGTACTCAGGAGGAAGTTAGCACGCATGAAGAGCCAGGCAAGCAGCGAGCCAGGTTGATGAAGAGACATGTTTTTTCGATTTTGATGTTTTCAGACAAAGAAAGAAACACAATTGGAAAACGCAGCAGCAACAAAACATAAAGAAAAGCTGGTTCTTCTCTTTCTGTTTCTTCTTTACTCTCTCTCTTCTTTGTTGCCTTTTGTGTTTCAGAAAACGGTCGTCACTCATCAGGAACATTCCCAATCTCTCTTTTTCTTCCTGGGCTGCTTCGATTTTTCTATTCTTTCGGCCAATATACACGATTTATGTATTTTGAAGATATATATTGACCTGAAAGGCGTCATCTTGATCGTTTGAATCTATGGAACAACTCGTGAACTTCATCATCCGGCCGCCAAGGTGACGAATCTTCACCGTCTATTTTCCTTAATAAATATATTGCCAAGATATGTTATTTTTCAAAAATCCCAGATGGGTTTTTGCATTTGCTTGGTATTGTTGAGTTGCAATATGATGGAATTCGAACATTTGATTGAGTCCTTGGGAAGCCCCAACTTGAGTGACCGCAATTGAATTGTTAGGAACTGGCCTGGTTGTGAATCAACCAACCCGTCATTTGGAGGGAAATAACTACAACGGACCCGAGTAGGTTCAACATCTAGGTGTCTCGTGCTTCTTCGTCAAGAACCCTGAATGATTTTAATACTTTATTGGGTGTGCTATCGCATCTTTTTAACTTGGCTTAATCTACTCGAGGGTTCTCAATTCCAGATCAATTTTTAAGCTACCTGAAGGTTCCTCTTGGTATTCTTCTGTTAGTTTTCACGTGGACCATCTGATAGCCCCTGATTTATTCCTTATTTGAGATTTAACAATTCTCCGCTGGACGAAATGGTATCATATCTAAGCGGTGTCATCTCAAATTCATATTGGATTTACCCCCTTCTTGGACCTTCCTTGAAAAGATAATGCTTATGCGATGCATCTCACCGCTCACATGGTAGCACAGGTGAAGCAGTGCACTTCTAGGCAGATATAGCTAGATTGCACTGCATATAAGTGAAAATCAGTGGTTGGTGAGTTCTTATTGTTTTGTGTTCCACAAATGGGATCTATCAAATAATTTCTGGCAAGAACTAGCTGCTGAATCTTGATTCCCCCCTTTTGTAAGGGGGAAAAAAATACTCCTGAAATTCTAGGTTTATAATTAGGATAAAATGTCAAATTATATTTTATCTTTCGTTCAAGCAGAACAATATCAGGAAGGCGAAAAACATTGTTTCCTGGAAAATGCAAAGAAAAGAAAAGGAGTTATTGCATCACATGCATGGAGCAAAGGGGAAGCTTTTCAAGGCAACGGGAAAGGAAAATATTTCCAGGAAATCATAAGATTCTAATTTGAAATTTAGGTTTGAGGTAGAAGCTATGGATATCATGGACTTGTATGCCTATCACACAATGATGATATCTACACTTATTGGTTTTCTCTCTGCAGCTTTGGTGAAATATGACTTGGATTGTGTTACCAACATGCCTCATCAATCTCTTAGGCATATAATCTTTTAAAAAATGACTTCATTTCAAACTATTATGATGTTATGAGTGTATAATTTATTGGAATGCAGAGCTGAATATGACCCAAAAAGTGATTTATTGGAACAAGAGTTCATGCTCAAAGGAAAATGGTATCAACGGAAGGATGTAGAGGTAAGCTTCATAATATTGAATCCAGTATCGTGGTAAAATTTTAGCATTGGTTGTAGTTGTAACCCTCACTCTCTGCACCCCCCCCAAGGAGAAAAACGTATCTATGCAATATTAATTATAAGTGATTATTGGCATAATGGAGATTCATTAGTCTAGTCATAGTGGATTTGATGTTGACACGCACCCTGGGCATGTCTAGAATACTAATACGCTAAAGATAATTCTGACATACACAATGGACTTTGCACCTAATTCTAGTAATTTTTTCTATAAAAGATGTGTGTTTGTGATATTTTAAAGTCTTATCAAATGATTAGAGAACATTGTAATTGTAGATGCCATTTTAATTTCAGTCAAAGTATTCTTTTCTTTGATTATCTATCTGAGTTGATCACCTGTTTTGTCTGCCTTTCATGTAATTTCGATATTCTGTAGATAAAAAATAGCCGGTGTGATGTTCTTCAATGCAGTCATTACATGCCCATTGTCAGTCTTGAAGAAAAGCCTCTGCCGTGCGTAATATATTGCCATGGGAACAGGTGACTATTTAGGTTAGCATGCAAGTTGATATCAATACCCTTCCAATTAATCTTTAGATTCATATTTAGGACATTTCTGACTCTACTGCTTTGAAGATTCTCATCGTTACAATTTTAGTAAGAGGAGTATGTTATCACTGTGTCTATTAGATCAAGAAGTGATTTTAATATGGATATGGCCTTACAGGTGCATTATGAAAGAAGTGGGCTTAGTATTGCTCCTTGAACTTATATCAATTTCAAAATAAGTTTTACTGGGGTGTCGCCCAGAAAAGTTGTATGGTCAATGTTATCATGCTAATTTGAAATTTTGAATTCTGCTGAAAATGATTTTCTTGTAATGCTTTAGAACAGATATTATGGATGATTAAGCAATGGCTTAAAAACGAAGAAGTTATAAACAGGATACTGAAGCGTACTTATTTGGCCTGTTAGCTTCTCATGGAATAATATTTGCTTTAATTCAAGATAATCTACTAATTTCTTTTGTTTCAAATGGTTTGTGCTAAACCGAAACTTCTATTTTGATTTTGTATCTTGAAAATCACAGATTAATTATGATGATTGCTATGAATGTAGCTTTGTATGATAGGTTTGTGTTGACTGGGTGCAATATTTGTATAGTGGATGCAGGGCGGATGGCAGTGAAGCTGCTATAATTCTTCTCCCTTCAAATATTACAGTTTTTACTCTGGATTTCTCAGGATCTGGACTTTCTGGAGGGGAGCATGTTACTCTAGGCTGGAATGAAGTGAGTTGTTGCTTTATAGCCATTTCAGTGTCATATTTGGCTATCATTGAGATATGAGACTAATTTAGGAAATCAACAGATAGATGGGCATACGAGGCTCAAGTATAAAGTGATATTTTTCTATCTTAACCTATTGAAGATAACTGGCATATTATGTAGATACCTGAAGTTCTTTTCTCTCATGCCTGAATTTGTGCCTTCTGTTTTCTTCTGTGCTTGTTGAAGACAATATACTTCATCAAACTATGTGTAAAGGCTAAAGATTGGGCACTGGGGTTGGGGGGGGTTTGAACCTCTTGATATAACCCAACGAAGATTGTGCTCTGAGAGCAAGCTAATTCATAAGAATAAAAATATGTATTTAAATACTATAATCTTTTGTTAAAAGTTTGAGACTTGTCATTTACCCGAGTCTCCTATGTTATCCTTAGTCCTTATATTTATTATAATGCTTCTATCCCACCAGAATTAGAGCTATTCTCTGCTGAGTCTGCATGAGAATCTTCTCTAGTTCTTGCTTTGTTCCCATTCTTCAAGATAATTATCTAACATTCTTGACTGTTTTCAGAAGGATGATCTGAAGGCTGTGGTTGATTATCTACGGGCTGATGGAAGTGTCTCTTTGATTGGCTTATGGGGCCGCTCCATGGGTGCTGTGACTAGGTTTTCTTCACTCGCTTGCTTACTTGAGCCTGTATTTTGAACAAGGTTAAGGAAACTGCTTGTTGGTCATACATGGGGCTCTAGCTGAAGATTGTAATATGGTCCACGATTAGTCACTTCATGTAGTTAAATGGTACTTAATTTGAAATTTGTTAAATGAACCCCATAAATTCCCTTATCGTGCCCCTCTTAGAATGAGAGCTAGAGCTACTTGAGATGAAGATAAATGCTGGGACTTTGTTGAAGTTTTGATAATGATCATATGGAATGATTATGGAAGAATGACGTTCTCTTGGATGGTGGCTGAAATTACTTGAAAGGAGTTGTATCCACCGATGATGTTAATGAGAAATAATAACTATCTGAAATAAGTCAAACATTATTGATCAAACATGTTTCTCTTGTTGGAAGTTTGCAAATGCTACCCATTAATTTTTTATTCAGCAACTCAAGTTACACTTCATTATTGTCTAGAACATCAAAATTTCTGTTCTAGCTAATTTATTTTTCTTTACCATTGATAACAATTTTATTCCTTGAAGCCTTATGTATGGAGCTGAGGATCCTTCAATTGCTGGGATGGTTTTAGACAGTCCCTTTTCTGATTTGGTTGATTTGATGATGGAACTGGTTGATACATACAAAGTCCGTCTGCCAAAGTTCACTGTGGGTATATTTGTTCTTTTCACGTGGCATCAAATTTCATTATCCAAAATTCTGCTCATGGAGTCATGGGTATTTTGAAATTAGTTCGTTAGTATCACAAATCTCTTATAGAAGGGGGGATCAAAGAGAAAAGAGCATTAGTTCAAGAAAGCAAATCAATCCATTTGCATGATGGATCTGGGAACTCTGTATTAAAGAAGTTAATATCTGTTTTTCTGATTGGTAGATGGCTAGTAGACCACCTCTTGTTGCTGTCACAAAAAATTAGTACTCAGTGTAGAAATTTAATTGCTTAAATAGAGATTGTGGGCTATAAATTCATGGGAAAAACTTGATTTTAAGCTTCTTTTTCATACTGCAGGTGAAATTTGCAATCCAGTACATGCGGAGAGCAATCCAGAAGAAGGCAAAATTTGACATAATGGACCTGAACACCATCAAGGTGGTCCTTCCAAAACTTCTTCTGATCTATTTTTATCCTAGGGGAATATCTAATCCTCCTCCTTTGTATTATTATTCTCTCTTTTTTTAGTTTCTTCTTTTATCTAAAAGAGGTTATTCTCTATTGCAGGTGTCAAAGTGTTGTTTTGTCCCTGCTTTACTAGGGCATGCCGATGATGATGGTTTTATACGTCCTCATCATTCAGATCGTATATTTGAGGCTTACATGGTATGCATGCCTTTAGGAAACTTATAACTTTTAATTGAGAAGTGATGTTATGACTGAATTCGTGTTGTATTTGGTCATTCAGGTCAAATTTTCATGTCATTTTAACAAGCATTTAATTTAATTTAGTGTGTGAGTGTATGTCTGAGGCTACAAGGTGCTTAGAATGTCATGATAACTTCTAAATGTGCAAAGGTTCTTAGAGCAGATTGTTTAGGTCTCCTGGCTTCTTACATTTTTTTTAGCTACCTCTAGTGGTCTTTGTGACTTTGTCTCTGCTTCTTGCAGGTTTTTTTTTCTCTCTCTCTGCCTTTTGGATTCTTAACCTCGTTGTCTTTACTTTGTAGGGAGACAAAAACATAATTAAATTTGAGGGAGATCACAACTCCCCACGTCCTCAGTTTTACTTTGACTCCATAAACATATTTTTTCACAATGTCTTGCAACCTCCAGAGGATAAGGTTGGGGAATCATTTTTTGATACTGTGAATGATTACTTTGGCAAGGTAAATTAACTGCACTGCATCTCAATGGTTCTGTTTTGGTTAAATTCTGAAGTGCCATCCTTGTACATCTTGCCATTGTTGACTGGCCGTTATAACATACAGGGTAGTTGGAGATCTTTGAATGAAGTAGGATATGACGAGTCCTCATCATCAGAACACAAAGGCATGACTGGGTGCCTAGCATCTCTGAACTATTTTCACTGTTCTATTGCAACCCGGATCTGTATTTGGTAATTTCTATTCTATTTCTTAATTATTTCTTTGTTGGTTGCAGAACCATCAGCAAGCAGTACGGCAGATGCCATTAAACAAGTCCGTTCAAAAAGACCAATGAGCAGGATGGAGGTTTGTATTTATTTTTATTCTAGTCTTAGTGAGTTGTTAGAATAGGATGGGTGCAGATTGGCTTGGAAGATTTATAGTGGCTTCTAAAGAAAATAGTCTTGCATTGGTATGCATGTGTTTAATGATAAAATAGATTGGGGCTTCCTATAGTACAACTTAAAATGAGGGCAAAAGGAAACCAAATGCCCAAAGAAAAGTACAAATGTTTCAACTCTTGACTAAGCAAAGTTTGCCATTTCTGTTGTGTTGCAGAGTGAAATACCCCTATGAAACACCATTAGCCAAGCCACCACAAAAAGCTGACAAGATAACGCCATTTCAGAACAATTAGTGTGAAAAAAGTTTTATCTTGAATGTCCTGGCATTTCTGTCCAATCTTACCCCTCAATCTGCAATAAAACCCTATCTTATTTTTTCCCGAAACCTTCACAAATATATAGCAGAGAATGCTCCAAGATCCAACAGTCACCAAAATTGCCAAAAAGTCTAATTAAATGTTATCTAAGGGGTTGGCGTAGAAGTGTATGGTTACTAGTCTTCAAATTAGAAAACACATAGGAGAAGCATTGGGGAAGAATAATCCTGCCTGTGTATCCTTTGTTTGTTCTGTTTTTTCATCTGAAAAAAGAACAAAGAGAGGGCTGGAAAAAAAAATTGAGGTTAGGGCATCCTCCTTAGTAAAGACCAAGCACCAACAATGTCCCCTAAAAATCTTATTGGATGAATACATGGCAAGAAAAGATGTGGCTGCTTGAACTGCCATACCCATAACCTTTTTAAAAAAAGAAAAGAAAAGTTGTTATTAGCATGATTTTTAAATTTCTATTAGTTTAAGAAATATTTCATGACTTCCTGCAGGTTCCATCTGATATTTCTTCAAAAGATGAACATTGTGAACGTGAGGTATTTTCTTGTACCAAGCTTTTTTTTTTTTTCCGGTTACATTCTATTACCTAACTTGTGTGAAGAATATATAAACTAGAAAATAATTTCTCTCCGCTGTCTCTACACAACACATGTACACGCGCACATGTATGTGATGTACATGAAATTCCCTCTTCTATTTAATGTTAATTCTTTTGGGAAAGTGTAAGAATTTTCCAATTTTTTGAGTTACACCTTAAGCCATAGTCAAAATTATCTGCAGACTAAGTTTTTTTCTTTTGACGAAACGTGACATTGCCATAACAAGCTGTTGAACTCATGGCATCTTGTTAGAAGTGTCAAATTGCCTTTTATCTCTTTGTTATAATATACAAAGTACTACCTCCATCTCAAATTATAAGATACTTTAAGGGGATATTCAGCATCCTACAATATAAAACACTTTGACGAAAATGATGTTTTATTAATGATATTTTTTCAATATTACCCTTCCCATATATTCTTTCTCTTCCATATTCTTTTATCAATGGAGTATTAAATAAAAAGCATTTTTAAAAGTTTATATTTTTTACTTGAAAAAAATGAGGTTGTAAAGTGTATTTAATAAGCTTTATCAATATGTGTGATTTTGTATAAAAGTGTCTTATAATTTGAGATAAAGGGAGTACCATTTCTGAGTTGTTCGATGATTTTATGCTGCAAGATGGGTCACATGGAGTGCATGCATTGACAATTCTTTCTTGATGTATTTGAACGCACCCTGCAAATTGTACAAGGGCAGGCATTTAATTCATGGTGTATAACGTGTGATCTACTGAGGGCCCCAATACCCAGTGGTGGTGATAAAATAAATTTTCCAATATCTGGCTTCAGATGGAGGGAGATCAGTGAAAGTAAACTAAACTAGAAAGAGAATAAGTAAACCATGAAATGAAGGTGAACGAGGGCCTAATCAATTTTTGTATGATTTTTGTGCACTGCAGGTTGAGAAATGCAATGATGATCTCTCCTCATCGTCTTCCAACATGATTAGCTTTGAACTGTCGAATGGCAATCCCTATGGACCCCATGTTCCAACCTCATGGGAAGATGACCAATATGTGGAATATGCACTTGATGACCTGACAGGTTTTCCATCTAGTGCGAAGGAGGAAGAAAGAGTGAGTAAATTAATTGACTTCTAGCATAATCTGAATCTATAATGAAATTCTCTTCAAGATTTTTTTTTTTTTTAACTTGTTTGATTTGTTCATATTATTCAGATGTTCATGGAAGCCGTGATTGAGTCACTCAAAGACATGGAAATAAGAAATCCCCAGGCAGAGGAATCACCCAAAGACATGGAAATAAGAGATCCCCAGGCAGAACAAGTACCACCCGGAGTTAGTACTGTGCCTGCAGGGCCATCGGAAAAAGAAGGTATGGGGGCTTCTTCACAAGATCTCTCAAGGTCCGTAGGGACCTCTTCCTTTTCAATCAAGCCGAAAGCTGAATCAATTTCGAGTCAAGACCCGGCCACTGAACCAAGTTTGTCACCAGGGGCAGCAGCAATTGATAGTTCACCAGCCAATGACTCATCCCCGAACACAAGTGTTTCTTCTTTTAGTAGTGATAGTGTTGCTAGTGTACCAAGTTCATCTGACACCGACGTATCACACAATACCAAGGCCACATTAACCGTTAAAAAGAATAGTCAAGCAGGTCATGTTATGGATGGCGTGATGCGTCGTTGGGATTTCAATTTTTTCCGGAACAGTAATAGTAAATGAGCTGAGATGCTCTCTCCATGGTTGATTTTACATTGTTACTGTAACTACAAAACGTCAAGGTTTGTAACAATGGTGCCCAGAGAAATAGGTTGCTTGTGTGCAAAGTTAGTTTGCTTAGATTCATTTGTTTTCATCTAACAAATTATACTATTTGGTTTTTCTGCATATAAGTGTTCATTTAGCAGTGGCCTTCAAATCATTATTAAAATAAATACAAATTCAAAATATCAGGAATGCGCACGTTACATGAGTCAAGTTGTGCGTTAAAAGTAGGTGCAACGAGTTACAATGAAAATTTATAGGTTCTTGGGGTGATGGAGGAGGCCACTGCTATGGTATCTTAAATGAGACTAAGCATGCGTGCTTAGAGTTACCCGCATTCTCGCAGAATCAACGAGAGTATTCCAAACATCTACAATTATTTCTGAGCTAAAATGAATAAGGGTGTTCCATTTTTTTTGTTTTTTACCTATCTTCCATCAGCTTCAATGCTGTCTCAACCAGTGAATGAATTGTTGTATTGTGCCTGTTCAGTCCAACTGTACCGGAGAAGACATTGAAGCTTTCAAGCTCTGACGTAGTCTCTAATACACACTCCAACACCTCCTCCATCTCCAGATTCTTGAAGGTAGTTCTGTTTTCTGGTTTGTCTTTCATCATCCAAATGGCCAACTCTATCACAAACCTCCTTATCCTTGGTACCTTGGTTGGCGGATATTGGTGTTTCCGCAGAATCTGGATCATTTTATATGCTATTTGAACCTCTGTAGTTCCAGCTTCTTCATATACAATGCTTGATTCTTCAGAACTCAGAAACTTGAAAGCATATGCTGCCAGTCCAACCATCACTTCTTGTACCTTGTTCTCTTCCAACAAGATGTCTCGAAGAATCTGCAGGAATTTGTCAAAATATCATCAAAGATTAGACAAAAATGATTAAAACTAGAACAGACAAAGGTGGAAATTGTGAAACTACCAGGACCAAACTGAGAACAGGACAGACTTACTGTGGGCGCTGCATTTGTTACTTCCTTTAGCTGGTTGAAGTATTCTGATCCACTATAGATACATAAATTTCTTAGAATTCTAGCAGCATTGACGCGAAGCAATGGATCTTTCAACGATTCCACAAGCCTTCCCAATACTTTCAACTTTAAAACACGATGACAGTTACTTTTGCTTTCTAATACCAGCATTGCCAGGGCCTCGCCAGCAACAGTCATCACTCGGTTCCGACTTACTTTGAAGAACAAGTTAAACAATTCCTTGAGCACCCCACCAGTACCTCCAATTCTCTCTGTTGCCTCCTCTTCCAATGCTAGACTGGTTAAAATCCCTATCCCAAGTTCCTGTAACTCGGGATGTTTCTCTCCATACCTTAGTATATCTCTGATGTTGCTGATTGTGAAAACTATCTCAGAAATCTCTTTTCTAAGAAGCTTCCCGTTAGTGCCTGTTGTGTTGGCCAGCATCTTCACCAACTGTAGAGATCTCTTGACCGTCTTTATTTGGGAATCAAGAACAGTTTCATTCTTCAATGTCCTTTCTTCAATATGTGTGAAGTCTATGATCTTTGGTAACAGGCCTCTGGTATTTCCAATCTTTCCACAATTATCATGATCACGAGCAAGTCTTTTCAGAATTGCTAGTCCCAGAAGGTTGAATGTCCAAAAACCATAATTTGGATGATCAAAGATGAGTTTCTTCTCTCCAATTTCATCAGCTGCAGGAATATGGTTCCTGTTATTGTGGAGAAGAGAAGATATAGATTCCATTGCTCCTGGAATTCCTGCTATTCTATGAGAATTCTGCCTCTTGCCGGCAAGTCTTGTCAAAATTTCTGCAGATGACTGTCTTAATTCTTCTTCTTTATAGTCTGTCAAATTCAGCATCTCAACCAATCTTTCAATTACTGATATAGAAATCCCAATCTTTTGCAGTGTATCATCAGAAAACTGACAGCTTTTGGCAAACTGGCGAAGGATCCTCGCCCCGATGAGCTGCTCATCGGGGGATTCTGAAGACAGAAGTTCCATAGCAAAACTAACCATGTCCATTTTTAAGCCATCAAATACGCTTCCATTGATACATCTTGAATAGGCATCATAAAAGAATCTTCTAATTGACACTATTCCTGATTGCTCCAATTCACATTCAGCGTTCACCTCTTCCAAAAGCTTACAATAGCTAACCTTCCATTCCCAGTAAGCTTTTTCCATCAGAAACAACAAAGCCTCAGCGAGAGCTAATGCATAGAAGATATTCAGAGCAGATGCTCTATTTCTTTTATCAGAGTCTCCCTTTTCTATATCTCCATAGTTATGCTTGACAAGTTTTATCAACGAAAGAACCACACAAGCTGAAGCAGAGAGAAGCTGGAGCCAATAAAGAATCTTACTGATATTGCTAGCAGCAAAAACCCATTTGGCATATGGCAGAAACGGAACATCTGAGCTTGTCCACGTCCTAGTTGGTGTCCTAGGAGTGTCCCACTTCTTAGGTGTTACCCCATTAACCTCCTCCTCCTTTATTTCTCTCTGGTTCTGCTTACTCTTCTTCACTGGCTTGAAAAGACGCTTTATACTTTGAAAGAAGAATCTTGAACTAGAACTCAGAATCCTGAAACTATAGAATCCAGCATCAGTCAGAGACCATGTGGCTTGGTGCTGCCACTCAAGCTCGTGGCTTCTGCTGAAAATCCTAGTCCCTTCAATTAACAAAATGATTGTGATGAACCAGAAATCGGTTTTGTCCAAGGTAATAGCGAAACCACCAAGAAGAACCACAGTGGCCCATATGAATCCAAGCGTTCCTAAACCTGTTGCTGATTTTTCAAGCACTGCGAGTCTCAGAGCAAAGAGAGTCAGCTTCTTCTCTGGTGCTCGCATCGTGGAGGCTTTTGGAGACGCTCGATCTTCAGCGTTGCCAAGTTCTCGCGGTTCAGACATTGAGGGGGGGCCTTTTGTGCTGCTCATTCCACTCAGCGCTTTGGTTTCTGGAACTTGTATGTGAATGCTGCTGATTCCCTCTCCTTCCCTTGAATGCCTCTGATCCATATGGTGGACTGAAGTTTGTATCTTTCTGTCAGAGATCACATTAAGGCAATCACATTAAGGTAAGTGTTGAAGAGAGAAAAACGGTGAATTGGGAAGTGGGTTATGCACTTGTGTTTTCTATCTATCAAAGATCACAAAAGGGTGGTCGTGATATAAATAAAATGGGGAAGAGAAACGTAGGTGGTGATTGAATCTCAGAAAAGGTTGTGTTGAAGAGAAACGAGTTGATTATTGACAGGCGGGTTTTTATACGAGAAAAAGTAATTGTGAAGCACGGCATTGTGATGAGGGTACGTCGGGAAAAGAGTAACTTTAAGGTTCTCTTTTCAGTTAATGTTCGAAGAAGTATCTTACGAAATGTCGTCAGCAGAACACCCCCCATCAACTTGGAAAATGGTTTACTTCTTCTTCTTCTTCTTTTTAAATAAACAAAATGGTTTACTTCTCTCTCTCGTGTTTGTCTCTGGAAAAAGTTCCTTCTCTTCCTTGCATTTTTCTCCGTGGAAAATTGCAGAGGTTAACTGGTGTATGTAAATAGGCGGACCAGTCCCCTTTAGGTTCATACTTCAAAGCCGGATTACTTTAAAATTGATCAATTTTTTTTATGCCAGCTTTTATCGAGTCTTGACTCTTGAGCTTAGCCTAGAAACCCTTTTTTATTTATTTTTATTTTTGGAATTTTTTACTTTTAAAAATTTAATTTTTTATGTCATAATATTACATATTTATTCTCTAAAATACAAATTATAATATTTACAAATTAAAAATAAGTGATGTGCATGTTTTAAAGTCTAAGTTTAATTTAAAAATTAAAATACTTTATTTTTAAGGATAAAAATACTTAAACAAGTAGCCTGATTTATTCCTGGCTTTAAGGTTAACACAAATATGAATGCGTGTGTGTATATAATTAAATTTATTAAAATTGAAACTAAGAAGTCTGACGTTGACTTGGGTCTGGACTTTTGTCATTTTATCATTTTATGAACGAAATGGCAAGTCGAGGCATGAAAGCTCAGAGAGGATTGTTTCTTTAGCTACAGGGGTTTAACGTGTCTCTTTCTCGATAAGGATGCTTATCTTAGAAAGTTAGCTGACAACATTTATTACCAATCACATAAATTAAATTTAAAAAAAAAAAGGGTTTGCTTCGTCGAAGAAAACCAGGTAGACGACAAAATAAGAAAGAATATAATCAAGCCATTTTCCTAATTTTGGCTCAACACGTTAAAAGATAGTTTTAGGATTTGATTAGTGACAACCAGACACTGTACGTGCGAGTAATTTAATCACATGAATGTGCTTATTTTATTATAACAATAACACATCACTTGCCTTAGATTAGCATTTGACAATCTTTCCTTCCACATGTGACAGTGTGCGTATCACTGTAGCTTGTACAATCGGGTTAAGGAAGAAAAGTCTAATATTGGAAGCTAAGGCTTAAACGCTGACCACGACAAAAAAGTGTGAGCCTTTCAAGGCTTGAAATGGGACCCTTCTCTCTCTATGCACTCATTGTCCCTCCCTAAACGCCTTCGCTTCTAATGACCACACCAAACCAGAAGGGCTACATTAGATCATTAATGTTATTTTGTCATGCATGCATATTTATCATCAAATTTTCAAAGTGTAAAAGATTATAAAAATGGACTTCACTTCTTTCAATAGAATCATTTTCATACATATAATGAGGGACCCAACTCTTGACAATATCTTCGTAGACCACCTTATTGCCTCTAATCCAGTTCTTGATAAAGGGTGTGTCTTTGTGTGTGTATTGCAGTTAAGCAATTGAGAGATATCTTCATCAATTCCGTCAAAGCATTCTTTGATGAAGCTTGGGGGCCAAGAAATGAGAACAGAAAAAAGGAAAATGACATTAATTGCAGAACAGCATCCAAAGGAACACACTACTGGTCGATTTAAATTTTAGTTGAATATAATTAATTATGTAGATGATTGATTAATATGATTGATTTTAATTATAATTAATTATATTATAACACAATCTGTTTAAATATTATTTTTAAAAAAATTAATTTTAACTGAAGATGTTTGGATGATTGAGTAAGAGTCAACTTTAACTATACAAATTACTATAAAAAACATTTCTTTTTAAAATTAAATTATTAATAAATTTATATAATATTATTAAATTTGTTAAATTTTATTTAAAAAGTAAAATATATTATTTAAATTATATATTTGATTGATTATAAAAGTTTAAATTATATTAATATTGTAATAGTAAAATTATATAAAACGTTGATTTTTGATCCTGGGAAGCTGCCTTGCCTTTGGAAGATTATATTAAAAATTAATTTTTTGACTAATAATCAATTACTTAAAAAATTGTTGTTTGAATAACTCTCACTTAAAAATTAATTTTATGTTTTATTCAAACAGGCACTACATTATATCCTACCAAACCGATATAACCACAAACAAATACTAGGGGTAATTCTTTTCAAACTTAGTTTAAAATTAAAACCTTTATACAAGGCCAAAATGCATAGATTTCTTCTAAACTCTTAATCATTAATTCATTATACACATCATCTCTCGCTAAACCCTATTTTTTAGAAGCCCATCTAAGAAACGAAACGCTTTGTGCAACTCTAGTCTCCCCAGAGTGGGGGTTTAAACCAACATTAAAAATGAAAATAATTTAAGGAATTTGGTCCATTTATGGTCTACATTAAATCAACAGACTTAATTGAGGCAAGCCTACTAAAGCACTTCTAAGGGACGAGAACCCGAATAATCAAATATAACTTTTACTATTAAATCATAAATTGAGGTGATTGCTATTATTTTCTTCTCACTCTGCTTTAATCATGCAAACAAAATGCAGCAAAGAGCGACAATTCTTTACTCTTGAGGTACAGCAATCACAATTCGTGAACTAATCCATGCAAACATGCACTTCATAATAGAGATCCTAATTCCCAGAGATCAACTCGAAGTTGGATAAGATTCTGTTTCCAGCTTCTTGTAGTGTTATATGTAGCTTCTGCAATTTTGATCACAAATGAGCAATGATATGCCCCAATAGCAATGCAAGATAGCCACAAAGAGAGAGCAGTCTCGTTCGCCTTTCTTCTACTTTTTCTCAACCAGTTACTTGCCCATATCCCATATCCCATATGCTAGAGCCTAAAATTTTCCGTTGTCTGGATTATGACCAAGTACAATATCTCAATCTTTATGAGACCTCATCTATGTACTATTGCGGTTGTCAAAGTACATTAATGCACTATTTGAATTGGGGCACTGTAGTCTGCTGATGTTTAGTTTAGAAAGCTTACACCCGGAAGATATATAACAACATATCAATAAATATATGATAAAATTCAAGGAGAATCTCAATCAAAGACCACTCAAGCAAATTGATGGCAAACAAAGACTAACAAGTTTTATTCTTAAAAAAAAAAAGTCCACATTCCCATTTTAATCACAATATTTTACATATTGATCTTTGTTTGGAAATAATTTGGCTGAGTGATCCTTTAATATGATTCTCCCTAACATTTATGATAAGACACATCATGAATAGTACAACTTCATCTCAATCTCTCCGCAAATGCGCACAACAATCTTTAACCTTTAAGAGTTCAATGAAAACAAGAAAAAAGCGAGGGGGGAGGAAGGGGAAATGGAATGAAGAGTCTGAATTCTAGATTACATGCAAGTCAAAAGTCAACACAGAGAAGATATATAATAACAAAACAATAAATATAAGATAAAATTTATGATAACACATGTACTGTTTATAAGTCATGAATAGAAAAGCACATCTTATGTCTCAATGAATAGCACAACTTTTAAGAGTTCAATGAAAACAAGAAAAAAGTGAGGGAGGAGGAAGGGGATATGAAATGAAGAGTCTGCATTCTCGTAGAATCTAGAGTGCATGTAAGTCAAAAGTCAACACAGAGCAAACAGATTGGCTCAATTGAAAGTCACAGATTTTGATTGAGCAACAGAAGCCATGAAGAGAATAAAGCTACAGTCTACAGAATAAAGACTCAACGAACAAGGTGCGTGCCATAAAGATAGAAAAGAGAACACAGACCCAACCACAGGGATTTTTTCCTGCAACACAAAGTCTAATCCATTTATGTAGTCATCCCTATAATCTGTTCATATATCCATGATCCCAACTTACCATGTGCTTGGTTTGCTTCCTAAAGCCCCAGGATTAAGTTTGGGCCAAAAGGGGGCAGATGAATAAGATTAGTATCATAAAGCATAAAAACACTTCCTAGAGCTGCCAGGGTCACTTAGTATGGCAAAAGAAGTTAGCACTTCCTTGGAACTGGAGCGGACAAAGAAAAAAAATGTGTTGAAATAATAAAGAAAGGGCTTAGAACAATATAAGCTCATTGCTGGAGAAGACCTTAACTATCTTTGATCAATCCTGTGCTGGAACTTTGCTTTCTCTGCATCAATAATGGACTTCACTTGTTTGACAGCATTCTCAAGCTTCCCTTTTCCATTCACAACTACGTAATCAAACCTGTTAACATGCTTCACCTCCTCCCTAGCCGAGGCAATCCTTACAAGTAGCGACTCTGCAGTTTCTGTTTTTCTATCTACCAACCTCTCGACCATTGCCATTTCATTTTCAGCCACAAGAAATATGAAAACCGCCGATTTACCAAGAATTCTCTGCAGTGTTTGAGCCCCCTGAATATCAACCCTCAACACAATATCATACCCTTTACCCACATAGTCTCGAATTTGCTGCTTTGGTACACCCTTGTAATCACCATAAACAAGTGCGTACTCCAGAAGCTCATCTCGCTCAACCATGGAAAGAAACTCATCCTTGGTCACGAAGCAGTAGTCTTTCCCATCCACTTCACCGGGGCGTTTCGCTCGGCTCGTTGCAGTGACCACGAAGCGAAGATCCTCTCGAGTTTCCTTTAGCTTCTTGATCACAGCGTATTTACCAACCCCGCTGGGCCCGCTAATGACTATAATCTGTGGATTAGGATTTGGGAGGAGCGAGTCTGAGCTAAACGAAGAACCTAGAGATGATTCGAGAGAACGAAGCAGCTCAGACCGATCGGCTTTGTCAGCAGCAGGGATGGAAGCCGATAGGTTTTTCTGGGAATGAGCCATTTGGGAACACGGAGAAGAAAATCGCCGGAATGATTCAAAATTCTGAAGTCTTTCGACGGCGCAAGAGTCTCTGAGCCCATTGAGTGTAGGAACCGGGAGAGTGCTAGTGTTCTGAAAGTTTCTGCGAGAAATTGAAAGAAGGTAACGCTGGTGAAGATTGGAGTGCGAGAGAGAAGTGTAGAATAGCCAGCGAAACATGAGGGCAACGCTGGTCGAAGCTTATCAAATGCTTGCCCAATCTGGACGAAAAATCGAAGTTTCTTGGATCGTGAAGTTCATCAGGGCCAGTGCGAGGGAGCTTTATTCTCATTTATCCCTTGACCAGAATGTGAGCGACGTTAATAGAAATACTGGAGCAAACTTTTATGCAGCTACCATTAGAGGTCGCAGAAGATCATTGTTATAGCGTGTCTATGGATGAACAAGAAGTAAGGGAACAGAAAACAAACTTCATACTTGATTTGACAATGGCTACTTGATTTGCCTCCCTTCATCAAATGACTCTTTAATCTCTAGGGTTAAATTGGCAGGTGATAACATTTCCCGGTAAGGCAATAAATATATTCATCCATATAAACTCGCAAAATTAACGGGGGGGCAAGCACCTTAATTTACTGTTTGTGCAATAGAAATATAGCAAGCACTCGATGTGAAGAATTTAAGGGTTGCAACACTGGTTGTATCAAATTTGCTTCTTTGCCACCAACAGAACCAGTTTCTAACAAGCCATGGTACACTTTAAAGGGAAAGAATTAATTATTTGAACTGCAAGCAGACCTGTGGAACAGGGGGAAAAAAAATACAGTATCATTGCTTTGCTATGGCCCAAGGTACAAGGGCAAAAGTATCCACGTCAATTCTGCAATGAGGAGAACAGCTCGGTTTTGTAGGCAGCAGTTGATCTGCCTCAATTTCATGGCTTTTAGTATCTTTCATGTCGTATTATAAATGGATCGAAAATGCTAGAAAATCATCAAACAAACCCCGTGAACCCCTTCAAAACTTTAAATTGGTGGTGCGGATTGCAAGATGTAAGGAAGCGGCAGCCGAAATCTTCAGACTTCAGTCTCTTCAGCTCTCCAGTTGATGATAGCATGCAGGATTAAGATCATTCCACCTAAATTTGAATTTAGATGATCAACCTTGGATTAGGTGCAGGACATGAATCCAGACATCAGAGTTGCATGGCACAAGGCAGAGGTTGGCCACATATTCAACATACCCAGAATCAATACCAACGATCACCAGCTCCAGTTTGAGCAGCAGCAACTTTTCTTGCCATATACTGAGGCTTTGGCTGCATTCCACTAGAAGTTTCGATCCCAACATCTTCTGCCCTCTCACTTTTACAGCTTGGGTTTCTTCTAGGATATGAACAACTTGAAGCAGCATATTGGGCTGGAACAGAGGGGTTTCTGGTTACCCTCCGTTGTTCAAGAGCCTCCGCTGTTGCCACTACCCCACAATTGTTGTATAGCAATACAGAACCAACAACTTTCCCAGGCCTTGCAGCAATACCTGAACCGAGTAGTCGCAAAAGTATGAGCTGGGGGCGAAAAACAAGTCCAAGAAGCAGGAAAAGAGAAAAAAGAAAAAAAAAGAAAAGCAAGGAGCATCTGCTCAAATACAAGGATCTCCAGATATATTTATATCCAAAGATATATGATGGGAGGGATGAAGGACAATGTATGCATAGAATGTGGCAAATTCACGGCTTGCATTCTATTAACAAACAAAAAAACAAAAATTGTGATGTTCCATTGACTGTAAACCATCTTACGCTCGCATCCTTACATGGGGGTGTGCAACTGCACACGCACGTCCAGCAAAGAGAATACAGTCACAAAAATGCAAGCCATTAATCCAGTTGCTTTCAGCTCCACTCACACGCAAATTGACCATCATATGGCACAAGATAAAGTTACGGCACGATCTCATAACTGATGATAATGGTTCCACTGCTGGTAAAAGAATTTGAAACAAGCTCCAAGAAAACAGAACGCTGTTTTGGATGCTGTGCATGTATGAGAGGAAGGGAGAAAGGGGGAGGGGGAAGATGAGGGGCAAAATGTGTCAAACCTTGAACATTTTGAGCAAGCCGAGTCACTGGAGCACCACTGCTCCTATCTATGGGTGGCTTCCCCATTTCCTTGATGCTACACTTGGAGAGATTGTCTGCAACCTCAGCTGTATCCTGTATTGAGTTATCTGAATATAACACACATGGTCTGCATGCACAACCTCAAATCAGTGAAGTGGTCAAGAATAGGTAAATACCCATAGAAGCAAGCCACGTAACAAAATCATTAATACTAACTAAAAGAAAACCTGGGCAATGATGCATGTTGCCTCTCAGGTGGGGCAACTGTTCCACCTTTACCGTAGTGCTCCTCAAGATATGCAAATTGCTTCTTGAAGTGGTCCACAGCGCTGTTCAAAATAGATATGAGGACAAAACGTTGGGAAATATAAGGCTGATAAACTACCCAAATGGAATTTAGGGATTACAGATCTCTTGAAGATGCTTGAAAACCCAATTACAATAAAGTAATCTTACACTCTAACAAGCATAATCCAAGCAAAATTTCTGAAGTAAAAAGAAACTAAGCAGCATGCGTCAACATAATGTAAGTCTGTAAATATCTAAATGAAATGCATAATTGCATGGATTTTAAAATACTGTCAACATAGATTATTAACATTTATTCAAGCCATAACTTTTTTCCCAAAATTCTAGCAAATGGTAACATTAAGAAAATGTGCTGGAGAAAGAGACACTCAACAGTTTAATTGACAATGTGAAGTGAAAGAAATCCCCAACTGTGTAGGTTATATAAAATTTATAAAATGTGTTTCATCCAACAGATAGGGTTAGACAACAATACCTTGGATACATGAAATTAGTTGGCTCTGCTCCCTCTAAATATTCCTTCAGCATCTTTGGATGGTACTCCAAAATCTCTCGATATATGAGCTCCCGTACATCTTCCTTTGTAATTCTACGCCTCTCAAATTCAAATTCCATCTTGCTAACAGGCTGAGCAAAAGGCTCCCTTTCAACTTTGGCCAAGCCTTTAAAATATGGGTCTGCTAAAGCCTGATGAAATTCAACATGATATGCCCTATCAGAAATAGATATTACGAGGGGAGTGAACAGTAGATGCATGGATAATCAGCCAACCTCTTCAGCTGTTGGTCGATCCTTGGGCTCAAATGCTAGCATTCTTTCTAACAAACGAAGAGCCAGGGGATCTGCATTAGGAAACTTCTGGGACAAAGGAACTGGCTTCTTCTTTCGCATGCTACTCAAATATCTCCGAGCTTTCTCATTTCTTACCTGTTAATATAATTCCAAGTCAGTAAATTTTAAAAAAAAAAAAGTACACAAAAAATAGCATACAAGCAAGAGCAACCAAACAACAGACCCTAGCAATGGCTTCAGGAGATGGTGTTCCAAGAAGATCAGTCATAAGGTCTAGTTGATGGACAACATTCTTCCCCGGGAAAAGAGGTTTTCCAGTCAAAAGTTCTGCAAATATACAGCCAATACTCCAAATATCTATGGCTGGTGTATACTGGGGGAAAATAGTAAATATTAGAATACAGAAACATATCATGACTGCATATATTTACTGAGAATGGGATAATGAGCCTAAAAGATGAACAGAAAAACAAAACAACCATCCTCAAGGTTGATTTCACAAACATGAACAACCTACTATTTAATTTGTGACAAAACAAACGGCAACAATGCACTATGAAATGTATTAGTATACAGCAAAGATAATAAGAATAATTATAATCAGCAATGTAACATTATAGTAACATTCCATTACATCTTCCTTTCCATCTTTTTTATCACATTCTATTGTGCATGGTAAAGAAAGATAATTCGTAGGCGTTACAGAAAGGGAGGAAATCATGCTCTCTGGCAGCACATCACATCTAACAAATTACTGTTTTATGACCAATTAGAGAGAAGTTACATGCCACATGGGTTTGCTCACAGGAAAACTGTAACGAACCCATAAGCTGGGGTACAAATCTGTCTAAGAGATAAATGATCTTAAATAAAAGTGTAAAAACATGCTGCACCTTGGAGAAGAAGGATCCACACAATTCAGGAGCCCTATACCATCTTGTTGCGACATAATCCTGTCAACAAACAAGTGAGAATGAGAAGACAAATAAAGAAAGAAGGTATGTTCACATTGATAGTCGAGGAAATTCTTACAGTCCAGAATATGGCAGTTGGCGTATCATTAAAAGTTACTCTGGCAAGTCCAAAGTCACAGATCTTAAGTTTACAGTCAGCATTTGCTAAAATGTTTTTTGGCTTTAGATCTCGGTGAAAAACATTAGCTACAAGACATTAAGAAGTCCAAAATCAGCCAGAATAATCAAATAATTTAGCATCTAGTTGTTTATATTACGCCCTTTAATCTGCAAAAGGAAAAGTAACATAAGCTACTACAGTCATACTAGGATAGATCTTCAAACTATAACTATAATGATCATGACCTGTATGGATGTACTTCAAGCCTCGAAGAAGCTGATAGAGAAAAAATTGGTAATGCTCTGGAGTCAAATCATCATTTGCTTTAATGACCTGATGTAGATCAGATTCCATGAGCTCAAAAACAACGTATATATCTTTGAATTCCCTCCTAGAGGGAGGTAACAATATATGTTTGATCTCCACAATGTCTGGGTGACGTAAGAGTCTAAGAAGCTTAATCTCACGAAGAATGCGGGTGGCATCAGATACATGTTCAAATATATCATTGATCTTCTTTATTGCAACTTTTTCTCCAGTGTGTGTATCATATGCAGAGCAAACGACACCATAGCTTCCTTTACCAATTACTTCTTCTATTCTGTATCTGCTGCCTTCACCATATTCTGTGAAGAAATCTACATCCACAGAGGACTACAGAAACGCAAGAAAACAGAAAAATTGTCACAAGATAGTAACAAAAGAAAAGACCAAGCAAATGAACAGAAAAACGTTCCATATGCAAAAATATTGCAAAGTTGGAGTCTGAAATTAGTGTCCATCCATGGACAAGTAAAGCAAAAATCTTCTCCAAAGCATTAGCCATTAGGAGATGAGAATCATCAATGTTACACTACACAAATGGTTTATTTAATCGGTGTTCAAGTATAAGATATGCTTATAGAATTCACCAAGAATAATCAAATTTTAAACAATAAAATGAAAATAAAGCACCAATCAATTTGGGATGTCAAACTTATCGGTAGACCAATTAAAAAAAAATGACAATAAGTTAGCTCCAAAAGCCTGGGGATACAATAAATATTGCAAGAGTAAACAAATGGCAATCGAGTCTAAAATGATAGAAAATTTTCACCAGGAGGTCCCTCAAATAAGAACCAGCAAAGCAAGCATATAGGGAAGCCTGAACATATACAAGAAGAATACTACCAAATAGAAACGGGGAAAGACAAGACGGAGGCGCCATACACCAGCCTAATCTCGATCAAGCTAGAAAAAATTTTGTGATGCATGAAATGCAGAAATTATAAATCAAGCATTAATCATTCTGTTATATATCCATGACAGACACCCAATTTCCCCTTAAGTCCATCACTCAATAATCCATGCAAATTAAAGCAAGCGCGAGCATCCATACATAAACAAGAGAGGATGAGTAACTTTACCTTTCTTCTTTGATCAGGCAGCATCGTAGTAACTAAGCATAAAACAGTCAAATATATATATGTCAATAGGTGCGCCCAACAGCGCTCTCTCAACTCAAAAATCCAAATCACCAAACCCCCGCTTCCCGTTCAACAACCAGGAAAAAGTGATAATCCCCCAGTAACGGTAAAGTCGAGCTACAACAACCGGATCATAACGGACTCATCAAATGCAACGTAGAAAGTCCAAACACGCTATAAAATGGCAAGAAAAGAAAACTAATTGTAAGAGAGTTGCCACTAAACAGGAAGACAAACAAGAACAGGAATTGGGCACTGTTTGGCGGCTTCAATAGCAACCACAGTTGAAACAACGGAAAATATACTGTAATACCAGTATATTTAAACCAAAGAACTTGGAAGGCGAAACAACTACAATACAGCTAAACCAGGACAATTCAGTGGAAGTCTCAAGATGTAACTGGAGAACCCCCGGTGGCAGATCACGTTAGAGTCTGATTTATTCTAACACGGAGCTAAAATTAGCGGGAAAAACTAATCATGAAGGATCCGCTATGGCGATGATGTCTAACGCGCTAGAAAAAGAACATAAAATACTGGGAAATACTTGGGGTTTAAAAGCAGAATGAGATTCCTTAGTTGGTCGTGCAGCAGCACAAGGTGTGAAAGAAGAAGCATGAAAAAGATGGATTGGAATGGAATTGAAAATTCTTCCGAGTTGGCAAGGGGGGGAAAAACGAAATAAAAAGCTTTCGGATCTCAGAAAGAGAATCTCACAGAAACCGCGTTACTCCAACAGGAAGGCTGTGGTGCTGAGCCATGGGAGAGACGTAAGGGAACGAGAACATCAAAATGATCATTATAAAATATAATTCGAAAAATATGGGTGGAATTTAAGAGGACAAGGGCTTCCCTAATGTTTCACTTTCGTTTAGACTTGATTTCTCTTTTCTTTTTGAGTGTTTGAATTCAATGAAATGCTTGGTTAATCAGGCAAAACAAATGTCATTTGGCATTCAATATTAATATAAAAATATATTACCCAAAAATAACAATATATATTTTCATATCACATGTAAAGAAAGTAAAATTCATTATTTTTATAATAAAGAAAAAAATGAGCTGTGACCCCAAAAAAAAAAAAAAAGCCGCTTTTATTTCCATTTACAACCGAACGGTCCCAATCATGAGAAGAATCGGTCATTTAATTTAAATGAAAGACAATTACTTTACATCAACTGCCATATTTAGCTTACAGTGGCCAGAAATGGACAAGAGGAAAACCATAATATTCTCAACTTGATTAGTTGCTTTTTGTGAAATATAAGTGGAAAGTTTGAATAACACTTTTCGATGAAAGGCATAAATATTTTATGATAACATTTCAGGTAGAAGGTGCAATAATCCTTACTCTTAAATATGAGTAAATCCGTAATTTATGATAAAGAAGGGATTAATTTATTAAGAGATTATCATGTTTATTATTTTAAATTAATGGATCTCAAATTTTTATAATTTAAAATTTAAAATCATACATTTGATCTTCATTATCAAAAAAATAAAAGGAGTTAAAAAATCACATGTTATTAAAGACAGAGTAGTGCCAACAATTGAAACCCCTAATAAATCTTAAGTTTCTACTAGTTAAATAGAAGAGGAGGAGCCGGAACCAAGCCACATACCTCAAATCAATATTCGCATGTTTAACCCTCTTGAATTTTCAGCCTTACTGGATTTTCAACCAAAACTCAGAAAATCTCACCCCATAAGCTACCGTCCCTTTTCCTTAAACTAGAACCCTCATTTTTTATTTGATTTTTGAGTTTTAAAATGATGATTTGCCTTTCATTCATCAATAGTCGTACCTTCACAAAATTTGTCCACATGCAATTAGTCTCCTCATTTTGACTAGTCAACACGAGGCTAGCATCCATGGTCATCCCTTTTGAGATATTATCATGACCAGACATTGACAAAAGTATCATTCCACCAAAAATTATCCTACAGGCACAAGAAATCTAAATTATAATTCCTTAACTCATCGTTACATCGTGTTTTAAATAATCAAGGAGTTACATGAATGACTTGAAACTTGATTAGAAGTGGGCCTTTTTTCATTCCATTTAAAAAAAAAAAAAGGGCAAATGCTAGGTGCAACACCTTCCTTTAATAGTTTTCAATCTCCTCCGTTGGTATGCTAAGTTTCTAACCCCACATCAATCCATTTTTTTCTTTTTAATCATTCGTCTTCCTTTTTTTTATATCTTAACCCTTAAAAATGTTGGTGAAAAAATTCCTAACATGTTTATATTTTGTTAGGATTACGTCTCCTCCTCGTTACTCCATGCCAAGGACTACATCTTTTCCCCATTCGCTCAATGTTCAAGTCATCACACTCCAGTTTTATGACAAACAAAGGACTATGTCACTCTCCTTTTCTCTACCCCCGTTCTCTCATAATACACCTTGCTCACTTGCTACTTCGACTTGTAAGCATGGTTTTGCTTTGGATTCTATTTGATTCATGTTTTAAATTAGTTATCAATTTTTTTAGGGAGATCTTGCAAGTTCATGCTTTTCTCCAAGTTGCATTCGCTATATAATGAAAATAGTCAAATTTTCATGCTTGCCCTATCATAAATGTCTTATAATAATTTATAAAGTGTTTTTTTAGTGTTTGGATAATTAATTTACAATAAAAAAATAGATTTTAAAAGTCTAAAAAAAAATCTTAAAAAAATAAATAAACAAGTAAGTTAACCTGCCTACCCACTTCAAGCCAGATGAGTTGAGAAAATTTCAACCTATTAGGAAGCAAGTATTTTCAATCCACACCTGTCACAAAACAACCCACATCCCTTGAGTTCCCTATTTTTCTAACTCTAGTTGTGATAAAGTTTGGCACATGAATTAAAACATTTTAATTTTAACTTATAATACATTGAAATGGTAAAGTAATTAAATTAAATATAGATGTAATAGTAAATATCTTCAAAAGTATTGGTAATCATTAAAGGATTTGTTTTTTAGTCATAAAAAAAATTATGGAGAAATAAACATAGAATGAAGAGCGTAGAAATTAAAATTAACAATTGACGATTTCATGAGGGGGTCATTTATGTTTAGAAATTTATATGAATTGCAAGAGTTCGCTTGGTACCATTTTCTTTTTTGGATGACCACACACACAATTTTGTTATTGTCCAAATTGTATGAGAATTTCAGACAATAAAATAAATACATAGCGCAGCAAAATTCAAAAAAGTGCACCTTTACAAGTCCTCCAAGAGCACCTTATATTTTAAAAAATACAGTGTTTTTATCAGTAAGCATACATATATATATATGTGTATATGACTACATGTTCATACGTTGAAATGTTAGAGGTAAAACTATGCAATCAACATAATATCCACTCTTTAAGTTTTTTATATTAAACATGCATCCACATATATACTTTCATTTAATGACACTTAGATGCTTCTCCTTTTTAAAATTTAACTCACACTGTGTGTATACATAATTTTTCAACTATTGACAGAAGAAAAAGGTTCCTATAATTGAGAAATAAAGGAGGAAAAAGGTGATGAATTAGATATCAATTATATAAAATGATGTTGAGAAAATCCAAGTTTAGAAAAATTAGTTTAACAAAAAAAACACTTCTAATTATATTGTAAAAACTGAGGTTTGGAAAGAAAAACTTAATTTTGCAAAAATAACTATACAAACATCCCATAAAAATTAGGTTTGAGCCTCCAACTATATACAAACATGCAAGAGGCAAAGGATCTTAACCAGTTTCTCTAGAATTATGCAATTACCAAAATGATATTTTGTTGCCCCCGCCTTTTAATTATAACTTCCAATGAAAAATGTCAATTTATAATTGAAATTGTAAGTAATTATGTACATGCTTTGTTATACAACAACAATAAATCTTATTCTATTGAATGATGTTGACTACATAAATTACATAATGTCATTGCGTTATATTATTAACCAAGATTTTAAAAATATTGTTAACTGAGAGATCTCGCTTAATAACTTTCATAAATATTTTCTTTGACTTTCCCATACCCATCTTTACATAGCTCAAAATTCTTCATTCTACTCTTCTTATCAGTACCTCCTATGACTTTCTTTATATATGTCCAAACTATTTTAAACCATTTCTACCAGTGATGAAGCCATGTTAGAGTTGGGAGGTGCAAATGCACTCCCTCACTTTGAGAAAATTTACAAGTGGGGCATATAAAATTTCAACTTTGCACCCTTACTCTTAATATTTTGCACCTTTTGAATTAAATAAAAATATTTAGCTCAAAAAATTATTAAATATATAATATTTCAATGATCTGACTAAGATATGAAGAGCATATTTATAATAAAATATCAATCAATATGTTTTTATATAATTTTTTAAAAATGAAAATAATGATAAAACCTATTTATGTTATTATAATTTTAGTCCTAACATAATTATTTTTTTTAAACAATATTACAACACAACAACACCACAAGCCTTTATCCTACTAGGTAGGGTTGGCTACATGGATTGCAGAACGTCATTGTGCGCTATCATTTATCAAGCTTTTAGGAATATTATTATTAAGAGATCGCGTTCAACAACTCCAAGAGTGTTCTCTAGACCTTCCTCTACCTCTCTTAATTGGACTCAAAGTTGTATGTTTCACTCTTCTCACTGGTGCCTCCCCGTGGTTTTCTTGTACAGGCCCAAATCATCTCAACCGATTTTCTAACCATTTTTCCTCATAGGTGCCACCCTCACTTTTTCGCGTACGTGCTCATTTTAAATTTTATCTTTATGTTATGTCCGCACATCCATCGTAACATTCTCATCTCTGCTACGTCCAACTTTATGCTCTTACTGTCCCATTAGAGCCCAGCATTCACTACTATATAACATTACCAGTTTGATAGCAGTGCAATAAAACTTTCCTTTAAGTTTATTAGGCTCCTTACGATTGCAAATAACTCCTTTAGCTTTTCTCCATTTCAAACACCCATCTTGAATTATATGTGAAAATATCTCCACTAATGGCTCTCAAATATCTAAACTTTTCCACTTGAGGTATATTGGATCTTTCAATTTCACTTTCAAATTATTGTCAAATAGTCTTTTATATCAAATTTACAATATAAATATTCTGTCTTACTTCTACTCAGACGAAAACCTATAAATATTCTGTCTTACTTCTACTCAGACGAAAACCTTTTGACTCCAATGTCCTCCTCCATAATCAAGTTTGCAATTAATTTCTTCTCTTGTCTCTATATAAAACTATATCATCCGCGAAAAGCATAACATTTCGGAATTTCCCCTGAATATGTTCCGTCAAAACATTTAAGATCAAGTTGAACAAATAAGGATTCAGAGATGATCCTGATGTAATCCAATCTTTATAGAAAAATTCTTTATTTGACCACTAGGCGTTCTTATACTAATTTTTACCCCCCATACATATCTTGTATGGTTTAATATAAGCAATCGTACTTCCTTTTTTTCCAACGCTTCCAAAGCACTTCTCTTAATATACGGTCATAAGTTTTTCCAAATCAATAAAAACTATGTGTAGATCTTTATCTTTACAACGATACTTTCCATTAATTCCTCTTAGTAGATAAATCGCCTCTATAGTTGATCTACCTGGCCATAAAACCAACTTGATTCTTAGAAATACTTGTCTCCAATCTCAACCTATGCTCAATTACTTTCTCCCACAATTTCATTGTGTGGCTCATGAATTTAAATTATTTGCATCCCTTAACTCGAGGTCCTGATTTTGCCCATGTTTTTTACCATTTCTCTCAATATATGTCATGCCCATTTTCTTGGTATATACTTATTTTAATTTTTATCTTTTCGGTATGCCAGACATTCATCTTAACATTTTATCTCTATTACTTTAATTTATACTTCTATTGTCCCTTTAAAAATGTGTTTGGTTGGGGAGGGCTGGATAGGAGAAAATACTTTTCTTTCTTTATTCGATTGGTATTTAATAAAAGGAGGGAGAGGAGCCCTTATTTGGTTAAAATATTGAAGGAAAAGAGGCTCCTCTCGACTCTCTCTCCTTTGAGGTTTTTTATAGGGGAGAAGAAAGAGAAAAATTATAATTAAAACTTATTTCTATTTTAAAATTTATAAAAGATGAGTAATTTTAAAATTTATAAATTATCTTTCCACCTTTATCTTAGAAGGAAATAAAATTTTACCTCTTACAAAAATTAATGTATGATTTTTATTGTCAAAAATGTTAATATTTTTATTAGATATGCTGCTAAAATATAACATTAATATATTCTTCTTAAAAAATTTTATCATATAATTTCATATTCTTAAATAATAAAATTACTAAAATATAATATAACTATTTTACTATAAATAAAGTAAAAAATGGAATTTAAAATTGATGAAAATAAAATTTTTAACTTATTATTGGTTCCTTCCCTTCTTTCTAGACCAAATAAATGTTCATTAAAATTCTCCCTCTCCTTTCCTTTCCTTTGAACCAAATACACCTTATAGTCTAATATTCACTACTGTATGACATAGCTAGTCTTATAATAGTCTCCTTTCCCTTCTTTGAACCAAATACACCTTATAGTCTAATATTCACTACTGTATAACATAGCTAATCTTATAGAGTTCGATAAAATTTTCTATTAAGTTTATTGGATACCTTTTAATAACTAATAACTCTTTTAATTTTTTCTAATTAAACCATTCAACTTGTATTTTATATGTAACATCTCTATTAATTTCTTCATCATGTTAAATAATAGCCCCAAGTATTTAAAATTTATCACTTGTGGTATAATTTGACCTCCTAATCGTATTTTCAATTATTATTGACTAAACTCTTATCAAAATTATAATATAAATATTTTTTTAATAATAAAAATATAAATATTTCATCTTACTTCCATTCAAAAAGAAATCTTTCAACTCCAATATTCTTCTTCTTCATGACTCAAGTTTGTAGTTAATCTTTTTTTTTTATAATAATAGTTAATCTCTTCTTTTATTTATGTAATAAAAACTATATCATCTGTAAATAGTATGTATTTAAATTTTTTTTTAATATGCTCAGTCAAATATCTAAAACTAAGTCAAATAAGTAGGATTTAAAGATGATCTTGATATAATAAAATTCTTCTTACAAAAAAAAAACTTTTATTTCACTGCTAAATGCTCTTACAGTAATTGTTGCCCTCTTAAACATATATTTTACATGCTTTGTTATACAATAAAAAAAAATATTTGAGTTTAGAAAGGAATCTCCTCCCGTTTCACATGTTAACATCGCACTTGTGGTGTTATTGTTGTGTTTAAAAAACATGCTTGTAATTCAATGCCAAAACAGTTGATTATCTTCATCCCTACCCCTGTACTTGCTCTCAACTTTCTCTCTTAATCATTAGATTAAATTGAATGACCTTGATTTAGTATTTCACAACATTATGTTAAAATTAAAATATGAATTATGGAAAATAAATAAACAAAGCTAAACTATAAAATTATCAGGATAATTAATTATTTGATCCTAGTAGCTTAATTCAACTATAACTCAATTCTTAAATTTTGACTTATTATAATTCAGTTTGTAAAATTTTGAGTCGATTGTAACTTAACTTTAAACTTTATCTCTTACAATTTAATCCTTATAGTTTCATCCACTTAAATATTGATCTTTATATTTTAAAATATAAAATCATAAATATTAAAATATTTTAAACTTTAAAACTTTTAATATTATAATAGGAAAAGTGACAATTAAAGACCCTATCAGAATATTAATTTCAATTAAGAACCATAACATTTTGAAATCTCAATTAAGATCTTGGGATAAAAAAATATAGTTTTTGAAGTAGGATTCATTAACACTACTTAAAAATTCATTAACCTAACTTGAGAAAATTGCTGACGTATATTGTAAAAGTATGAAACCTCACTGGGAATCGATTGTTTAATAAAAATACCACTTGAGAATTCACTAACTCAATTTTAAAAAAATTTCTAACATATATTGTGAAAAGATGAAATTTCACTTAAAAATCGATTGTTCAACAAAAAATGCCACTTGAAAATTTACTAATCAGATTTGAAAAAATTTCTAACGTATATTGTAAAAAATAAAACCTCACTTAAGAATAAATTGTTTAATGTAAATTGGGCTTTTTATTAAACAATCAATTTTAAATAGAGTTTCTTGTTTTCACAATATATGTTAAAAAAATTTTAAATTGAATTAGTAAATTTTTAAGTCACTTTTTTGTTAAACAATTAATTTTCAAGTAAGATTTTATATTTTCACAATATACATTATCATTTTTCTCAAGTTGAATTGGTAAATTTTTAAATGAAGTGAATCTCACCACACAAATTACATTTTTTTTATCCTATTTAAAAACCATGATTCTTAACTAAAATTTAAAATATTATAATTCTTAATTGAAATGAATATTCTTAAAAGTCCTTAATTATCATTTTCTCTTTATAATAATTATAAAAATTAAAAGAGTTTTAGTTTTTAAATGAGTGATAAATTTTAACATATTTTTAATTTTTATAATTTTAATTTTTTAAAACAGAGATCAATTTTTAAGTGAATAAAACTATAAAAATTAAATTATAAAAAACAAAGTTTAAAAATTAAGTTATAATAGAACCAAAACTTAAAGATTCAATTATAAAAAATCAAAACTTAAAATTGAATTACCATTGAATCAAAACTATAAAAACTAAATAATTAATTTTTAAAAAATTTTTTATAAAATGCTACATCCAAACCATTCAAAATATTTAAAAGCTGAAAGTGAAAAGCGGGTACAAATTAAACACTAAGCATTCCAACTTGATTAACTTCCTGACCTGTTATTATATTATCAAATCAGAGCGCATCCCAGATTAAGCCAAAAACCCTCCGGCAACATGTACGTAATGATAAAGAAATCAGATTAATTATAATATCCCAATTGTTTCACAAACAAAAGCAGAACCATAAAATAACAAATCCAGCTATGCTTAATATTACTAGAATATCATCCGTTACAACCGATCAAACAAAATTCAGAGAAATCCTCAAACAAGACTTCTAGTAAAAGAAACCCAACACTTTCCCACCAACATTCTTTCTCCTAGCCTCTTCATGGTCCATTATACCAGCTGAGGTTGTCAAGACGATGTAGCCAAACTGCATTAAAAGCGTAATCGGATTCAATAGAAGTAACACATGCATAAAACGGAGAGGGAGAGAGGCAAAAGACCACTATTCTCTCGTAGAAGCAACAAAAATACAAGATGTAATTTTAAACATGGGAAAGGGAGGTTTATTGTGACCTGTCTTGAGGGAAGTAGCCTTGCAGTCCAGGGTTCTATCTCTTTAACACCCACATCAAAGCGAGGGCTAATAACCCCACATTTGTTCAACCTTCCATTCAGTTCAACCACAATTTTGCCAGCCCTATGGTCATCCACGTATTCAAACTCCCCAATGTATCCTACAAAAGTTGACGGGGGTATCAGCCCAGCACTAAAAATAAGGAAAAACATAATTGAGTTTTTGTACTTTACTCGAGTTTTGTCATAAGTTCCTGCATTTTTTTCGATATTCTAAGTCTCTACATTTCTGTTTTTTGATGTTCTAAGTCCCTCCATCAGTGAGGTTATACGGACCTAGAACGTCAGAAAAAAAAACGTGCAGAAACCTAAAACATAAAAAAAAAAAAAAGTTTAGAGGCTTATAACAAAATTTGAACAAAGTGCAGGTACTAAAGTTATATTTTTCCCAAAAATAAACCATCACAAGCCTGAAATTAAATATATTATAGTACATCCATACAAAAACCAGGATGAGAAATACCATGCTTCTGCATGACCAAAAGGAATTTGATAATGACTTTTGAGGACGGCCTAATCATGACCTGACGCTTTCCCCGTTTCTCGGCATTGTACATGCTCTTGAGAGCATCATTCAAAACACTGACCCTCACCATTGTCACTATCACAAATTTCAACAAGAGTTAATCGTAACCTATATTGTCATTGTGCTGAACAAATGCAAAAGATATGAATGAAACTAGTTCCATATTTAAAGCTTAAACCATGCCGGATAACATAATCCAAACACAAAATCATTTCCATTGTCTCTAATTACTATAGAAGTGAGTGATACAGCAGTTCATCCTTATAAAAACATGCATGGAAGCAGCAAACTATTATTAGATATTACATAATATTCCAATTGATCTTCAACCAAACCAATATCTAAAATACACAAACGGCGTAGAGCGCAAATCTATGGAGTTTCAACCATTACTAGAAAAGTAAAAAACAAGACTTCTAAATCCATAAGAGCTAACTAGCCATTTTATTTACTTTCGATTGAAACTGATGTTTTGCATGAAGTCATGTAATTCTTATTTCTTGGTAGTATGAAGATTCGTCGAAGAAAAACACGAGTCATAACAAGGTCTTTTCCAATAAATAATTTTTAAAACATATCAGCCGAGTTTCAGTAGTTCAGGTAATTCGAAAAAGGTCCTAGTTTCCATACACCAGGTTTCCCCGTACCAAGATAAATTAATAAACCGAGCGTCTCTATTTTACTTTATGAATATAAAGCGCAAGATCGAGATTGTAACACCAATCTAGAGGCTAGAGGGCACATTTTATAATCTGAATCAAAACAAAACAATAAGTGAAACAAAACAAAGCTGGGAACCTCCAGAGCTTCACTTTATTAGGCAAAGAAAAAAGAAAACATTTCTGATTGGACAGCTTATCAAACGATAAGCAGGAAAGGAATTAGATAGAAAGTACTAATTTTCGGTCGTTTTAATACAGTTATACTCAGAACAACAAAACAAAACACGTTAGGTCAAACCCAAGCTCCGTTCTGTACGTGATCATACTGATCCTCATATTTCTCATTACGAGACCTAAGCTATAATTGAAAAACATACAAGACTGGCTCTCTGGCAAAAAATGAAAGACTGTAACAAGAAAAAGCAGATTAATAGCCGTAAAACGCAGATCTTACATAGTAAGAAGAAGAGAGGGGCCTCCGAACGACGGCGCTGGTATGGAAGCTTCAAAAGCTGGGGGCGAGAGAACGTTATAATGCCTAAGCAGAAGATATAAAGCAGCACGTTTAGGGTTTAGAAAACCGATTCTTTTGGGCTTTTTTTAATGGGCTTTTTGGTCTTTGCTTGCATCCAACTGCGAGCTTCATCAATGATTTCTTTTGTCCTAAATTAATCTTTCAACTTTTAATTAACTTATAATTTAATCTTTTAATTATGACTCACTATAATTCAATCCTTCAACTATAACTCACTATAATTCAATCCCTCAACTTTTAATTCACTTATAACTCGATCCTTATTTTTTAATTTTAAAAAAAATTCTTATCAAATAATAATAATAAAAAATGCTCATATATTATTTTAAAATATCATGTCCTTGCTCATTGATGTGAGATTAAGCTAACATGACAAAAAAAAAAAAATTTAGGAACTAATTTGTAAGTAATTTAAAAGTTGAGGGACTGAGTCATAAATAAGTCATAATTGAAAGACTGAGTCACAGCAAGTCATAATTGAGGGACTGAATTATAAGTAAATTAAAAGTTGAAAGACTAAAAGATTAATTTTTTAAAAAAATGATAACAACAACTACTTTTCAATCTATCTGCTATCCCTCCATCCTTGAGTATTATTGTTTTGTTTTTCGGGGATCAAATATTTACTCTGTCCCTTTAAAAAAATTCAAAGCTTTTTCCCCAGCTAAATACTGCCCTGATTTATTTAAAATTTTATTTTGCATGTTAACTTGATGTATATTGCCACCAATGCAAGGAGTTTTAATTTTTGTTAAAAAAAAAACATCATCATCAATTTAGTATTAACCTAAAATTTAGCTTATTCTAACACCATCCAAGTCCAGCCTACCATGGAGCAGGGGCAAAAGGGGGAGGACCAACAAGGTCACGACTCACTATGCTCCAAGTTTTTATTTTTTAATTTTTTTTGTATTATATACTTCGTTTATTTAAAAATATAAAGTATTTTTTGAAAAATTAAATATTAAAAATATAAAAAAAATATTTAATTTTTTAAATGTAATCATTATCTTTTTTAAAAAAAGTACTTATATTAAATAAATTATTTTTATATTTATTTTAAGATGAAACACCTTATTAAATAAGGATAAATATAAAAATATAAAATTAGTTTGAAGACAAATAACTACTTTATTAGGAGATAAAATTTAATTAAAAATACCTTATATTTTTCAATAAGGAAAGTAAATATTACATATTTTTAGTCCTTTTAAAATTTATGAAAGTTTTATCATATTTGTTTTTTTAATTTTAGCCTCCTCATAAAGATCTTAGTTTTAACCTAGCTAGGAAGCTCCTTATTTAAATTTGGCTTGAAGACAACATGTTGTTAAGAATTATACTATATGTGTGTTTGATTTTCCATTAGGTAAAAGTTAATTTGTTAAAAATTTACTTAACAAAAGTTAATTTAATAAAAATTTGTTGTTGCAAGAAAATTTATTTGGATATATTTTTTAAAAAGTTAATGTGATAAACTAAAAATTTTTTTAGTTTATATATAGTAAAATATACTTTTAAATATATAATTATTAAAAAAACATTAATTTATGATGATATATAATTTTTGTTATACAAATATAATATATTGAAAATGTTTAAAAATGTGATAAAAATTTAAAATAACATAAAATTTGATATGTCAAATAATAAGAAAAACAAATATAAAGTTTGATATGTTAAAAAAATTATATAATAAATAGTTTAACATACAATAATATTAAAATTAACATGATTATCGTTTAATCTATAATATACAATCTAGACAGTCCAGATTTAATATAATTAGTTTAAATTTAATACTTAACATTTTATTTATTTTAAGTATTAAATTTGAACTATTTAAAATATATTTGAATAGTAAATTTTATAAAAATTATTAAAAAATAATAAATTTAAACCACCCATATTAAATCTAAACTATCCAAATTACTTATCAAATTTAACATCTAATAAAAAATATTAAAAATTTTAAAAATTATTTTAATAAATATAAAATTAAAATTTTCAATCGAAGGGTTACATGATCAAATAAGAAATTATGTACACATTTATTTCCATAATTAATGCTCCCTTACTTCTTCATTTCAAAAGCTATGGAACCGTTGGTCAAGTTGGGGGGGGGGGGGGGGGGGGGGGGGGAACTGTGGAACCAAATCCACTTTCGATGCCATTTTGAAAGTCCTTTAAAAGTCACTTTGGGTACCCAAATAACATTTGGAATCTAAAAAATGGGAAAGCACCTTCAACAAGGAGTTCCTAAATCCTTAAATCTTCAGTAGAAGCAGTCAAAGTAGGAATTTGGTTTGGGTGATGATCACTGTGTTCAGATATGAACCATCCAAATGGTTCAAATTTAAAATATTATTTTATATTTATTAAAATAAAAATTATAAAATAATTTTAATAAATTTTTTTTATTTTTAATATGATCTAGATTTAATTTGAAAGGTGCAATTTAATATTAAAATTTTTATAATTAATGTATATTGACTATGTAAATGTACTCTGCACAGTCCGTATTAATGTTAGATTAAATTTGGAATATGCAGAGTACATTTGAATAGTCAATATATATCAATTATAAAAATTTTAATATTAAAGTAGACCCTACAAATTAAATCTAAATCATAGTAAAAATAAAAAATTATTAAAATTATTTTATAGTTTTTATAAATTTTTATTTTAATAAATATAATATATAATAATAGTTTAAATCTGTACCATCTAAATCAAAATATGGATGGTCCAAATATCATCACAGCTATAATCACCATAATGCTCATCACTGTGACAAGCATCCAAACTGGATCCCTTAAAGCAGTATCCTCAAGCCCCCCCCCCCTTTTTTTTTCTCAAGCTTGATTTATGTTTTCTTAGCAGTTATTTTTCTGAAATTTTATTTCTACTCCCCAAAACAGTCGATTCCTGTGCCATGACCATGAGCTACGTGATTGCCCACCTTTCGCTTTGCCGAAGTTACTGAGCACTATATTATTTATAAGTCATAAATATTGCAAGTTTTATTTCCTTATTTTCTATAATTTTGGGTTTTTAACATTTTAGTAAATTTTAGGAGGCTAGTTATTAATTTCAGGATAAATTAAATAAAATTTAAAATAAAATAAAGATTTTTCTTAAAATACCAAATGCAGTGGAGCAAATTTAGTTATGAAAAGTCTACATTTTACTCTCACACCCTACATTAGACATGAGTGGAGGATATTTTAAGCCTTGCCGACAATACATATATATTAGCAAAAGGTAACAACCATTTATTCTGATATATAAGAACCAAAGCTATAATCTTCTCTTACAAGGCAAATACACAAAGAACTGACGATAAAATAAAATATGATATATTGGGATAACTTTTCCTCATCATAGAGCAATCTTTCTTTTCTTGACATTGCATGTCTAAGCGTGGCTACTCCATGTCTGTCAGCTTCAACAAAATGGCTGCAAAAGGCCAGTTGTTCTTGTTCATCACAAGCAGTTGTGTTTTTAAAACTAGTAAATTTAGTGAACATGCTTAGCAAACCAAGCGAATAATTTCTGATGGGCCTCCTCTGCAGCCATCACAGCTGCTTCATCTTCAATGTTGTACCTCACAGTCCATCCATGAGACACCTTGGGAACCACCTTCACATCGCAATCATCCTGAGAACAACAATAATCTTTGTTCCTCAGCCACAATTTAACAAGCAAAGATACTTACATGAATATAGAACAAGACACTGCAAAATTCGTTGGTGCTTCACAGGCAGTAACACAATGCAGTGCAGCTAACAAGTAGCAACATAATAAAAGTAAAACAAACTGATGCACACAATGCAACTAACAATTTCCCAAAGAAGGGTGTGAAAAAACTTGAGATGATGGTGTTAATGCTCGTTTCTGAGATGCCAAAAAGGAGATTCTTATTAGAAGGAACGGTAAAATTGAACACACAAACACACGAATGAAATAGAGATTATTATCATCCATAGATAGAAACTTTCCGCACAAGGAAAAACTACTGTTAAAACAGAAAACATGGAAGGCGTCATCCTACCCCAAGTTTAGCAGTTAGGACCTCTTCAAACTGTTTCACTAGTTCCGGAGGGCAATATTGGTCAATCTCAGCTCCAAGTATTGCAATTGGTATATTAACCCCTGAAAACAACACCCAATGATTTAATCTACCCTTGAATTTATGCCTTGCTGATATTTCTTTGGTCCAGGAGTTTTTTTTTATTGAAAAAAAAAGAATTGAAAATAAGTTAATTGAAAATATACAAGGAAGAAGAGCAGTTTTTAAAGTTAATTGCTCGATTTGTGAAAGGGTGTTCTAATAATAACTCAACGTTGCAGAAAATAAAATCATATAAAATTATATACCCTTGATATCATCCACAGTGACAAATGATGGATGAAATAGCAACGCAGCTTGAATCATTCCAGACTTAGCAAGTTCTACAACACACTTTGCTGAGAAGAGGAAAATATGAACACCATTGAATCCAGTCATTAGTCAATATTCAACACAATTGCGATTCATGCGACCAAATTCATCCACTAAGTATATTTCTGTGGAACTAAAAAAAGTTATATGACAAAAAAAGGGGAAATAAAAGGGCAAACAATAAGTCACTCACCACCCCAACAAAAAGATGCAGCCCCAATAGCCAAAACTCCCGTACTTTTCAAGGCTTCGATTACTTGTTTTGCATCTTCAAATGCTTTGTCCTATCAATATGGTGTCAAATAATCAGAGAGTAACGCGTTGCAGTCATATTCATAAACAATACAGAATCCAAATCTTTTATTAAATCATAGATTTTTGAAGTTGAGCGTCGTTAGATTCTCAATAATGAGACCAATGATTGGTTTTCAATATAATGACAGAAAGTAAGAATTAACTGGCTCATGATCTTTTAGCCAAACTGGCAGAGGTCTGCTGGCATTTTCGTAGGCAAAGGGATCTCCATGCAAGAAGTCAGGAACCACTACGTAGTACCCTTTAGCGGCAATCTTGTCTGCAAGCTTCCTGTTCAACGAGAAACAAATAGCATTAGTTTCAGAGAAATATAATACAACCAATATACTTCCAATATTTGGTGGTACAATAAACGAAACCATGAGAAACTTATAAGCTGTAAGCAACATTTCCTGATAAAGTGAGGCATTCATATTCCCTGAGGATTAAGAACTATAACATTCAGTGTCTCTATTCTAGTTTTGTAAGGAAGATGTGGTACTGTGATAGTTGTTGAAAACGAATGTAATAGTATCTGAATCAAATCCCACTGTGTGACCATCTACACAGCAAGCAGGAGAATGAAGTACTTTTACATCATGATTTCAACATGTCATTCTTCTAGCGCGTGAGAAAAACTGTTGATTATAAATCCCTCAGTTCCAGCGGATACCACTTTGTGATTGTGACTGCAGAGAACGAATTTTAAGATGTAGGCTACATAATACAAATTAATTCAGATATAGCTTTCAGCTTGATGAGGAAAACAGGAGGGGAAAAAACTGCTTCACAATATAATCGAAGTTAGATAATATAAGCAAAAAATAGACATACCTTAGCTTCGGAGCTTCATATCCTGCAAGATAAGTTGTACACATAAAGTCAAATATATGTCAGGGAAATATACAGTCGTAAACAGGAATAAAACAAATAAAACAACAAAGATTTGTAACTGTGTTTTGTACTCATTGAAAGGACTGAGGCAAGCAAAAAGTCTATAGCGATGTTTGTGTCGGAAGGAATGAAACAACATAAAGATAAGTGCATATCAGAGAAAACTTATCATCGTGAAGAAGAATAATTCCATGCATCAAACGAAACGGCTAAGTGTAATCTCAATAAAACTAAAGATTCAAAGCTGACCAGTACACACCATAACTACCCTGACAATCTTGAGTACAGAACATGGAAGGATTTGAATATTCTAAGAGCAAGAGGTAGAAAAATTATGTTGATTAAAAGATACCAAAAACTTCTGACACCAAAAGAACGGCGTGCTTAGAATCGGAGAGGCTGGTGACGTAAGAGTTGAGGCCACCGAGTCTTTGAACGTGGCCTGCTCCAGAGTTTGGGTCCAGGATCGGTGGGTTTGAGCAGCACTCTGGGCCTGACATTCTTCACCTGTAATTTCTGCAATGCTTAATATCGTTTTCTGACACTTCCAGGTGTGTCTATATGTGCGCGCGCGCGCGGGCATATCAAGATGAGCAACCCGGGTTGCCTAACTGTTACTCCTTTTGAAATGGAAGTAAGACTGGACCTCACAAGAAAGATAAATTCCAGCAATCCATTTGTTATATTCTAACCATTTCTTTAAGATATTGATGCGGAGCAAGCAATTGACGACGCCTTACTTAAATTCATTAAAAACTACGGTCAAATGTTTCATCCTACAATTCTTAATTTGAAGTCTACGTAGGAAAAACGAACATTGCTTCTTGCGAAACATGAACTCGCCATCGCAAATCTCTCAATTTTTATGATAAATCTAATGTAATGAAAAAACGATAGTTAAACCACATTTGAAGAGGGGAAAAAAGTATCTGCGATTAGTCTATCATTTTCCCCTTTATATTGTGCAAAAAGTTTGTGCAATTAGATCCAACTGCAGGTCAAAGCAGGTTAAAGCTTTCCCCCATGAAATCTTGGTTAAGTTTTCAGGCATTTGAACACACGCCCGGTTATAAGCTGTATCCTGTTATATATGCTGTCTTTCACCAGTGCCAGCATTTGTAGTGTTGTCATATGAACATGAACTAATTGAGCTGTTCCCGTAGAGAGGTGGAAGCAGTAAATAATTTGTGACTTGGCTTTCCAACCTAATTGGATCCAAAGCAACAAGCCTATTTGGACCTTGGATCCTTGGCCACCAAGTTTTCTTGGCTATCAAGTAAATTATCTTGACCATTGATTTTTTTTTTTTTTTGGGCGGCCAAGTTTTTCACCCTATAAATAAAGCCTCAAGAACTCATTTCTAGCGTCCTCAGAAACAACATGGCAATACATAATTCCTTTCATTTAGTGGATTTTGCTCCCCCTTCAACCGTGGCCATAGGCTTATGCTTGGCTACGTAAATTTTGTGTCTCTTCTGTTTAATTTGTTTTTCAATTTTGTCGACCATTCTTCCCAAGCAAACATCCTTCTGCTGCCAAATGCCAAACACATTCAATGAAGAAAGCACACAACATACAACAAACCTTATCCCACTACCAATGAAGAAATAACAAGCATGTTAAATTACATAGACCACCATTAGGTTTCTAACAATAGTTTTGACTCTAACGTCACAAAATATTAATGTTTAATTAGTAATTAGTAGTACACAACATTCACACCTGAGACCTCCAGAAACATAGGAATCTAATAACAGAACAATTCGACTTCACTTGATGTGCTTGGTAAACCAATTCAACATGTCCTGATGAGCCTCTTCTGCACTCTTGACAGCTGACTCAATGTCTGCGTTGTACCTTACCGTCCACCCATGAGACACACCTGGGTATATCTTCACGAAGCTGTCAAACTACAGACACAGAAAATTTAAAGTAATGCGCCTGTTCATATTTTAGACTTGATATGTCAAGATGGTTATAGAGACTAAAAATGGATCTCCAGAACATCGTCTTTTATTTATGCAATACTTGATAATAATGGTGCTTCTTCTCTGCTAGAAGAATTTAAAACCTCAGGATGATGGACCAGCTTCTTTAAAGGTTTAGGGAACATTAGCAAGGGAAGAAAATGGTCCCCTCAGAACTTCTCACCTGTGCTTTTGCAGACAATATCTTCCCATATTACTTCAACTTTTCTGCAGGGAAATAGTTGTCAACTTCAGCTCCCAATATAGCAATAGGAACCTTGGCCTCTGGGGAAAAAACACGGGGGAAAATGTCACCAATCACCGTAGTGAATTCATTGTTTATAATATGAACTTAGAATAACGGAAAGCGCAAATTTACCATTAATTTCATCAACTGTGATGGCACCGGGATGCAGCAGAACTGCAGCCTAAATGTCATCGAACGTGGCTAATTTTGCTACCACAACCCCTGGACAAATGTAGCAAGTTTAACATACTTTTGCCTACTCCGTGAAAGACCGTTTTCAATAACTCAAGGCACAACAATGATTGGCTTTTTCCCTGATGCTAATTGAAATATAATATTGTTCACAGAGAAATAACTCGCCTTCCCAGCAGAAACCTGCAGTCCTATGGCAGTGACACCTTTACTTGAAAGAGCAGCAATAAGAGGTTTCGTATCTTCATGTCCTTTATCCTATGAGGACAATAAATCATATACCGCATGATATAGTTGTAATAGTAGAACCTTTAAGCAGATGAACAAGTGAAAGGATTCGCATCTCCAGGCATCAAATTAACCGTCCCATGAGCCTTTCTCCACGTGTCTCTATCACATTGAGGATTGTGTGGATCAAAGTAGTCACCGTACAGAAGATCAGGAACAACCACCAAGAATCCCTCTGCTGCCACTTTGTCCGCAAGTTTCCTTTACAGCAAGATAATGTCAAATCCTTTACACCGAAAGTATTTGGTGCTTTCATTTCCTGAAGGAGACAAGGTTGTGAAAATATCGTTACCTTAGAAGTGGCGCTTCAAACCCTGCAAATAATTTCAAAACAACATAATGTTAAATTTAAAATTTTCACTGCGAGCATCTTCAAACAGTATAATCGCTAAATCACCTAAAATTTCCATTTCCTCGGTGCAGACTAAATGCGTTAGTAGTGAATGTAAATTGGCATTCACGTTTAAGAGCTATCGATTCTCATCAGAATAGTGACTAGAACTTGGAGCCAGGGCAACGTTATAGCATCATTTTTGGCAAGGGAACACACTCATGTTGGCCTTTCTTTGAACTTTGTTTTAAATGATTTTACGTAAAAAAAAAAATCAGGTTCAGACTCGTGGCAAATTAAATTAAATTAAACATGAAATAGTTGGCCAAGAAAATTTAAAAAAAAAAAAAGAAAGAAAGAAAGAAAGAAAAGAAAATACTGCAAGTGACTGAACAGTGAACAACTAGTTGAGAATGATATCAGAATCGGATAGTTTCGCACCAAAGACATCAGAAATTAAAAGGATGGCTCGTTTGAAATTAGGAGGTCCTGTGACGTAGGTTTTAAGCCCTGCAAGTTCTTGGACGGTCCCCGTTCCATTTGAGGCCGAGGTCAAGCTTGGCGGGTTTTCAAAGCACAGGGTGCTTCTGTATTACTGGATGCAAATGGCGATCGGAATGGCAGATTTCAGACCTTGCGCGAGTTTTATAGAAGGGGAGATATGATACGATGGCGTGAAACAAAGGTGGGTTTGAGTTTAATTTTGTTTGACCAACAAGTGCGTCACCAGGCATGTCATCAAGCACGGTATAAAAAGATGATTGTAGTAGCTTGTCTTATTTAGCCAAAAATACAAAGTAGCCTATCTTATCTGGAATTCCACTCCGAGAATAAATTTAAGACTCCTTGCAATACATGCACGGGACATTAATCTTTTATTTACTCAAAGGAAGTGTAGGGGTCGGACAAAATAAAGATTTTAGGTTGTGTTTGGATAAATAAATTTAAATTTAAAATTTTATATTTAAAATCTTACATTTAAAATTTATAAATTTTAACTTTTTTATTTGAATGATATTAAAAAAATTTAAATTAAAATATTAAAATCATTTATTTGTATTTAAAGTAAAATTTTAAATTTTAAATTTATATTTGAATTTAAAAGAAATTTGGATGATTGGTCAAAGTCGACAATTCAAATGACCAACTTTCACCAAGATCAAACTATCAAAGCCGATTGAGATTGTAATAACAGCGACGATCGAGATGGGACAACCAACTTCCATCAGGACTAGACCGATGGTGACAACGAGAACTGGACAGCTAATTTTCACATGGACAAGACAGAAGACGACGATGGGAATTGAATAGCCGACTTCCATCAGGACATGATCAACAGTGATGACCGAGACTAAAAGGTTGACTTTCATCGAGATTGTATTGACTGCGACCACCAAGCCCAAACCAACAACATCCAACAGGATCAACAATAGCAATGATCAGGATATCGAGACTGCAGACTAGACTAAATGGAAGTTAATCGTCCGGTCTCCATGGTCGTGTCAATCTGGTCGCAGTGGTCGTCTTAGGTCTGGTTGCAATGGAAGTTGATCGTCCAATCTCAGCGGAAGTCTGCCTAGTCTCAATGGAAGTCAGTTGCCTGGTCCACATCATCTCTCTCAATCCGGTGCCGGTGGTTGTCTTTAATCTGGTCCCACTAGAAGTCGGCCTTCCTCTCCCTATAGTCGCTATTGGTCCAGTCTCAAAGGAAGTTGGCCATCCAATTTCCATCATCGTCGTTAGTTTGATTCCAGTGAAAGTCGACCGTCCTATCCTGGTCATCATTTTATATTCAGTTTCAATGAAAGTCGATCGTCTAGTCTCAGTCCACGATGGCGGCTTATTTCCGTCAACTTTCATAGTCCAATCCAATTACCATTAGCAGATCGATCAAACTTTTATGAATTTCAGTCAAATTACAAAAGAATTGAGTAAGGATTTGAAATAATAAGGGTTTAAAAAAGGCAGGCACATTCTAGCCATTTCAGCCCCTGGCCCACATATTCTTTTTAAGACTTGTTTTTCCCCTCAATTGCCACCCATTGTAGCTTCGATGATAATTACAAAGAACGGAGATATTACACCTATTTAATTTTTTTTCTCATTTTTTATTTTTAAAAAATATTTTATAATATAATTTTTAAATTGTTTTGAAAAAATAAAATAAAATTTGTTTGATTATGTTAATTAAAGAACAGTTTTAGAATTAAAAATAAATTGATAATGATAATTATAAATAATTAATGGGAATGATTAATAATAGAAATCATTTGTGGTAACTATAATTTTTAATAATTAAATGTATTATACTTAAAAAAAAATAAAACAAAATGAATTTAAAGTTGTTTTTATTTTTTTAAAAAAAATAAAACAATTTTAAAAATAACTAAATGAAAAACATTTATCCAAATAAATTTTAAATTTTTTTTCAAAAAAAAAAAAAGCCCACATAATGATTGTTTGAGTGAACTACATCTAACATATGAAAAAACATATTTTATTATTTGAGATAAACAAAGCTGTCTAAATATCAAATACTCTCTCTATTTAAAAATATAAAATATTTTTAGTCTTTTAAGTATAATCATTATCTTTTTTTCAAAAATACTTCTACTGATGAATGACTTTATATTTATTGTAGGATATTTAATAGGAATAAATATGAAAAGATGGGGTTAGTTTGAAAATAAGTAACTACTTTATTAGGAGGTGAGATTCGATTAAAAATACCTTATATTTTTAATCTAGAGAGTATGCAGGAAAATATACTTTTGAAAAGTATTCTTAAATGTGGTTTGGAAGTAGATTTTCAAAAGTAACTTCAAGTTAAATTTCAAACACATATGAAAGTTGGGAACATTTAACGAGCGGAATAAATATGTACTTAATTTTGTAATTGACCATGTTATTCTTGTATTTTAAATATTTTTAATATATTATATTTGTATAATAAAAATTAAAAATTATTATAAATTAATATCTTTTTTAGTTGTTGTATAGTCAAAATTGAAATCATCATTAATCTAAACAAGTTTTAGTTTACTAAATTAACTTTTGTAATAATATATCCAAATACACATTTTATTATAACAATTAATTTTTGTTAAATGAATATTTGACAAATTAACTTTTGCCCAATAAAACCAAAAGCACGTATATTAGTATTATAAATTATCACCAATAAAATTCTCATATCAACAATAAAATCAAAACCGTATAAATTATAAATCAAATCAAGAGTACACTTAAGTTAAGTTATCCTTGGAGGGGCCACTGGCAGTGGCCCCAGATTTTTAAAAAAAAAATTAATTGCCAATGGGGTATGGGTTTTTAAGGAGTCAAATTACTTCTTTGACCTCTCAATTTTTCAATTTCGTCCTTTAGCTTAAATTTTTCGGACTTAATTTTCTCCACTTTCCATCTCAACCATTAGATTATTTTTAACGGTTGAGATTTGATATTTCATAAAATTATTATTAAAATATAAAATTTTATAAAAAATAAATATAATAATAATTTTATGAAATATCAAATCTCAACCGTTCAAAAATAAATCCAACGGTTGAGATGGGAAGTGGAGAGAAAGTGGAGAGAGAAAGAAGTGGAGAGAAGCTGGGTCCAAATTTTTCATTGCACATGCTCGTGCTATCTTTTCACTCAATAAAACAAATATTTGCTTTAATATCAATCACTTTTATTTATCTCTTTTTCTTTACAAATAATAGTAAATAAAAATATGAATACATTACTAATTCCTTTTAATTTTTATTGTTAATCATTTTTTTAAATTATAAAGTGTGAATTTTTTACAAGACAAGTGTAACAGTTCAATTTTATTCTTAGGATTTAAGTAACAGTATGGGTGAATTATTTTGTGGTAATTATAAATTATCATGTAATTATCTTAGCTAATTTTAAGATCCTAATTCCAATAAATAATTTTTGAAAAAAAAATAAAGAGAGTTAATAAGGCTAAGGGGGGTTAAATTAAACTATATAAATTAATCTTACACTTGAGTGCTTCTAATTTAAAATTTTATTAAAATTATATTCAAGAAAAATTAGAAATTAAATTTTTGGTCCTTGAGATTTTATGAAAGTCTTGAAAAATTATAGAAAATTATACAAGATGATTTGAGAATTTATAATATCATGGGACATGATTTTTGAAAAGAAGTGGAATAAAAAGAAATTAGGAATATGACTAATGTGGGTGGGGGAAGAGGATGAAAATAAGAAAGATACAGAAAGGAAGGAAGATAAAAACAACAAAAAAATAAAGAAATAAGATGGATTAAAGTGGCAAAAGTTGAGAGAATACATCAAGATATGTTTGGTTCGAGGGGAGGGGAGGGGAGGAAAAAAATTATTATATATGAACAATTTTACCCTCATTTTATTAATGTTGATATAATGTAAAATTATATTTGTATTTTTTAAACTTATCACGAAGAGCATATGGATTAGGGTATGAAAAATTTTACCTCTCCTTTCTCAATCCCCCCAATTTGGAGGGGAGAGGAAATTCTTCCTTCTAATTCTTCAAACCAAACAAGGAGAGGGAGCAAAATCTCTCCCCTTCACTCCAACCAAACACCCCCTAGAGAGGAAAAGAATGATGAAGGGTGAATTTATCACAAGAACCACGCCCATATTTTAAAATCACCCCACCATTCTCTCTCTTCTTTATTCTTTCTTCTCTCCTCTGTGACGTCTAAGAGAGAAGGAGAGATACAATGAGCACGGAGAGAATAAGGGAGTGAATTTTATTCAAAATTTCATAATAGAATATTTTAGATGAGATTTTGAGCTTTTCAAGGTTATGTAATTATTGTAAATATCTTTATTAGTTACATATCCTCTTTAGTTTTTAATTTCTTGATAGTGGAAAACCTAAGGTTTGGTAAAATTTGAGTTTTAGGTATTTTAATTAATTACTTAGTTTTTAATGAATCTAATGATGGTAGAATAATATATTTGCCTAAATAGTTGAGTTGAAGAATTTAAGTTATGTTTTAATTGAGAAAAGTGTGATTTATGAATATGGTGGTGATTTATTCAAATTTAAAGGTTTATTTTAGGTTATATTGATGATTAAATAGATTGATTTTGAGGTTTATAATTGAGTGTAAATATTAGTAATTTTTGTAGGTATTGTAAATGTTGAAATTTTGGATTAAGGATGATCTGGGAAAATGATTATTGTTTAATAGCTATAATGAGTAAAATGAGGTTGTTGAATGATAAGAATATAATTGGGATGGATAAATTTACTTGTAACAGTGAATTGAGATTTTTAAAGAAAATAAAGTTTAGAGAAAATTAAATTTCTTTATGATGATTGGGAGTTTTTTAGGTTTAGAATGATTGTAAGGCGCTAGAATGATGATTTGTAACATGAGACTAAATTTTTTATTTATGAAATATTTTTGTATGAATTTATGGAATGAAAAAGAGAAAAATGATGATACTAAAAATGAATTATAGGCTAGTCATAAGTCATAACTCATTGATGTTTATAATTTGTTAGAATAATGTTAGAATTTTGGTTAGTCATACTAACTTTAGAAATGGTATAAATAATAAAATTAAAAGTGCAAGTTATATCATCTAACTCTATGATTATAGTTATTTTATCGATCTCAATAACTGAAGTTGATATATTATAAAAACATGCCTTATGTAAATTGTATTATTGGTAAAGATTGTGGTGAGAGGAAAGTTGTGAGGGGTAAATTATTGTTGAAGCTACAAGACAACCATGCTTTAATTTGTGATTAGAGCTGCCTACTATTATTTTTGTGATTACTGAGAAATTATATTGAAATGTTGTTGAGAAAAATTATATTGTTATGTTTATGAAAAAATTATGAAATTATGAATATGTATTTTGAAATGTTTTGCCAAGGGGATGTTATGTTGAAAATGAAAAAATTGTGAAAATTATAATGTTGTATATTTGTACATCGTTAACATGTAATTGCTTGACTTGTGGGAGGTGTTAGGAGACTTGTTGTTGTTGTATTTTTATGCCGCATAATACACCCTTATTGGAGGCCTAATAGGTGGCTTGTAAGGGTTCGAGTTAGTCTACTTTTGACTGAATGATCTAGCATCGAGTGAGGATTGTGAATTGAGGTTAATAGAGGGAGATAAGAATGGTTATTTATTGTAACATCCTAAAAATTTAATTTAAGGATTAATTGAATTATTTCAAAAAATAAGAGTGATCGAGTATTTAAGAGAGTTTAAGGATGTAATTAAGGAGATATGTGTGTTGAGGACTTAATTAAGAATTTTGTGAATTTAAAGTATTAATTGAGAAATCTTGAATGATTGTGGTCAATTAATTATTGAGGCACTTAAGTAT